CCAGAGATAAGCGGGTCTCTCCCTCACGCATACCATCCACAAAGACATTCACCTGCGTGTACATGTCCATGGGGTGCGTGATAATACGCGACGCCAGATGCCTAGCCATCTCTACGTACTCGCGCATCGCCATTTCAACCTGTCGCATCGACAAGAATATTGATCGCACCAGTTTCTTCTCTTGCGGTGGCTCGAAAGCAAGACGAAGATCGTCCTGGTATGGAATCCAGGGTGGGAAACGCGTGCTCGTCCACACCGAGCTTACCAGGGGCCCACTCCTTGGCCTTCCCGGTGAGGCGAGAAAGAAGAAAGTTGACCTTCGCCTGGGGTGCCTCAAGAAGTCTCGAGGCGATGGCGATATCAAATTCTTGAAATCACCGATTCAGCGACAACCGGTCCTTACATTCTCCTGAGTAGGAGGAGGTTTCCATCTTCACGCTCTTCTAACGTGAATGGCGAGAGTTAGTTAAGCCTCGCCGATTGGATTCGGCGAGCTCGCGTACCAAAAACTCATGTATGGCGAGACGTTGCGCCTCAGGAGTCGCTGATCTCATCAGCGACGCGACGAATGCCTCTCACGATATCGCCGCAAGGCGATTAAGGGCATCCCACTCAACACCAGTAAGATGGGGGAAGGTCGCGTGCTCCAGAAATAAATCTGTAGCGTCAAAGTACGACGATTTGCTCATCCTAAACTCGGGCATATGAAGGACTACGAAGTGCTACCAGGTGTAACGGGGCTAGAACGTACCGTCACTAGCTTACACGCGCGCTTGAAGAAGAATCAAGCCCAAGTATTAGGTGTTTAGTAAATTTAACTCTGATTTTTATTTTGGTTTTAATTCGTACTAATTATGAAGATTTTAGTCGTTAATAATACGACAGGGTTCCTGCCTTTCGGGAACCACACAATTTCAGGTAGATTTATCATTGGTCCATATTGGGACTTTTAGGCCCCAATAATAAGCTAATAATAAATTGCCACGCCACGCTGTGCCCGCTATTCTGGCCCAGCACCTGTCTACATATGTATTTGTTTGTTTGTGCTAACTATGTGTGTAATGTAGCCCATTATAGTTACCGGTAGCAGGCGTGGCGACCGACCGCACTCCTAGTTAAAGTTCCACCTCTGCCAATGTAATTGGTGAAGTTGTTGATTCAGCGCCTAATGGTAGCGACGGAAATTTCATGGACTCCGTTTTAGTGAATAGCTTGTAAAATGCCGTTCTCTATTTCTGTTCATGCGTGAGGACAACGGGTTCCGTTGCTATCGGTGCTGGACCGCGTTATGTCCCTGCCGATTGTCGGTACTTATCCTCAGATGTGAGAGGCAATTTATCGGTGGGCCCATGCCCGTTTTGGAAGTTCTTTGTTATAATGGCCACGATTGCTTGCGTAAGCTGAGTCTCGTTATTACGCTTCGGGTCAACTTAAATTTCCAATTCGTGGTCGTCCTCCATGATCACCTGGTATACTCGGAGTGGATGTAGAGGCCGCATTCGTAACCATTTGTTAATCCTACTGTGCCCGCTACTCTTTTTTCGACTTCGTTAGCCACGGTTGCTTGGGTGGAGGGGCTGGTTCCGGTTGCAGATGGATATACTTTGACCCTTTTTTGGCCTGAGAAGTGCTGCTGGTGCTGTGGACCACTGTTGCCCCTGACGTAGACTCTGTAACGTAAGCGGACCGTGTCGGCGTTACTGCTGCATGGGCTGCCCCTTCCGCCTCCATCTGGTGCTCAAGTCGTTGGCCGCCATAGCTTTAATTTCTGCAAGACTGGAAAAAGGTTTTGCTAAATCTGCGAGATCCTGAACGTCCTCTTCGATCACCTCAATGCCTCCGGGACCCCACAGTCGGTCTTCTGTGAATCTACAGCGATCTAGGGGGGTTACCACACTGCAGGCATTGAATGCTATGACCGACATCGGGGTGTTTGACGATTATAATTGTGCCAAATGAAAGTATTCTGACCACTTCGTTTAAAAATGTGGGACATCCTGCCAGCTTGAAAGCGACTTTCCAAATTTTGGATGTCCAAGAATTCGAGGCATGAGTATCCAAATTTTCCATATCGAAACTAGTCGAAATCTTTGCCTTCAAAAAAGCTGCAATGCGAACGATATCGTTAAATCGGGTAAGGTTGTGTAGCTGCACCGTGTATTCCACCTTCGCCCGGTATCTTTGCCTTAAAGACCCTGCTGTAGAAGCCAAACCGATCCCTTCTCTGGCATGTGGGCATTTTGAAGCCGATACACGCCTTCATAATACGGCACTCGCACCTCTTGGTGCTGTTTCGCCGTTTTCCCAGTACAAAAGTAGTAATGGATTGACTTGGTTACTTGGTCATAGCTAATTGTCTCCGTCTGACTTAGTATGCGATGGAGTGCTTGAAGATTAATCCGAGCGAGTTTCGCCGTTCAAAAAAATTCTTTCGTAATTAATTTGGAAGTCTGCCTGCTCACCTTGACCTTACGAGATCTATCCAAGTGTAAAGTTGATCCGCCTTCCACTTGAGCTTAGATGGTGCTATACAAACGTAGCCTTTTATAACTCTCGTGAACATGTTTGAGAAAATCAGGCATGCGTCGACACGCCACCGTGCCTTCTACTAATCCGACAACTATTGCCCATTCATCGTCGGTACCCTCCCGTACGTATTGTTGACGTTCTGGAGATGCTGGTGCTGCACACAGCGCTTGCAATCGCTCGATTTCTGCGCACGAAAACTTCGCGGGATCGAACATGTAGTTCTTAAATGATTGAGGACCTGCGCGCACCGGTGTCCGAAGTGGTGACGACCCTCCACGTTGAACTGCTTGAGTCCACTAATTTAAAACTGGGGCGTAAGCCCACTTGTGCCTGCTAGCTACTCGTCGAAAAATCTTCTTAAAATGCCCACTTTGTTGTCAGCAGCTCATGCGTGATGAACTTAGCCATTCTTTTTCACTCCACAGAACTTCCTTTTCCCTTGACAAAAATTTGTTTAACAGGTCCAATAAGCAAGCTGCCTCTGCCTCACTCAGGGTAGGAAAGCGTTTCCTCTCGGTAGGCATTGCCTCTGATTTACACAAAATTGGCGTGTAAAAGTATGCAAATAGCTGACGCACTGTCTTGCGCCATGCGTCGACATGTACTACGTTAGGCGAGTCGGTCATGTCTTCTATCAGTGCTGTGAACATATCTTTTGACGATGCGTGTAGCGGTACTGGCGACGGCGCGACTGGTGCTTTGCCGGTGTGTGCTGCCTGAGTTGGGAAAAAAGCTTTACCAGCTCTATCAGTGGTACCATTGGTCCTCCGTGTAGCCGTTGACGGCATATTAAATCGGGCGGACCCTCCGATGCCACTGCCGCTTCTTGTTGAGCGTGACTGCTGCTTGGCTCTATTACCAAATGAGGCTTGGAGGTAGCTATACTGCTAGCTTGACCCTTTAACGCTTTGTTTGTAAATGACTTGTCTTTGATATCGAAGCCGCCAGGGTCTAAGGCACTACTCGTGATTGTCGCCATAATTACTTGGTGGTTAGGGCTTGCGTTCTCCATGATGTCAACGGAGCTCTGCCCGTTACCATGGCCATTCCCTGTCGATGTGGCCGAGCTGGCCGTGTCTATTCCTCCCCCAGAGCAGGCAGATGAGGAGGCACCATCGCTCTCGCTGTTGGTGGCGTTTGAGCCAGTAAAGACTCGTTACTTTTATACACCACCGTGATCAGATGTGATCACTGCGCCGCAGATTGGGGAGTGGATCACATTTGTGTATCGCACTCAAGTGACAGGTCAAAAATTAATCATGGATACTTTTAGACCTTACATTAAGTATATAACTTAATGTTTACGTGTAACTAAATACTTTGTTAAATTTATTGTGCTGGGTAGAGTTTTTGCGTGATAGAAGTGAGTGTTGGAGGCAGTAGGTGACTTGACCTACTGTCAAGTTCAGCTAATTGGAGCAAACATTGTTTTGGTACAGTACACAGCCGTTTGGCGTAGACATCATATTAATTCCAGTTTTGGAGCTTGTTTCTGGTGCTAATCTGCGAAGGGATCTTTTGTCGAAAACTTGATGATATTTTTCTGACTTTAGAAATTGCGATTAAAACGAGATAAAATTTAGGGAGCCTAGATGCGCTTTAATTAGACCTAATTAAATCTCAGAAAAACTCAGAAACCGTTTATAATCTTGGTCTAAGTACCTTACACTAGATTAATTACAATTATAAGAATTTTTATATGCCATTGCTTGTATCTGGATATGGCATCATTCAATCATCTTCCCAAGTTGGGTCGGCTTAGGCAACCTTGCGCTGCGTGCTTGACTCACTACCCTGTTAACAACTAGTGTAGATTTAGACTGATCACTTTTAGAAGCAACTTGCTATGATCCTGAGCTTACAGATCCTGGCAACTGTTAGCCTTATCAGTTACTCAGATCATGTCCTATCGTGCAGCTTTTAGATTAAATTATCAACCCATTTGTAATGTTCAAGGCTGTTCGAGAGAAAGGGACGAATGTCTTGAATATAAATGGATCCAAAAGTCTTAATAGATGGAGAGTACCAGTAATCTGACGATCCCATTTGTGAGCTCTCAAATAATACGTTGCATGATGGGCTGGTTTAGGCTGCTCAAAAGCAGAAAGAGCTTATCTGTTGCTTTTATTTTTGTCTTACTTAATGATAAAAGCACCTGTCGTTTCATTTTTTGTAAGCAAATTATGACCTTCTTATTGTATAGTCCAGAAAAATAGCGCGGACACGGACTTGCTCTTGCGCCGTCTTATTGACAAATTAGCAAAGTTAGCCCTATTCCTTCCCACAATATTTGCTTAATAAGCTGTCATTTACGTCATAATCCACAATTTAACGCGCTCTCCGACCCGTCCGTGTCGCCTCCACGTTGGCGCTGAATCGAGACGGCATTTCATCATTGCCGAGTACAATAGCGGACAAGACGAAAGTTCCGCTGTACGCGTGCTCCATCACTGCCAACTGTATATGACAACATGATTGAGGAGATGGAAGAGCCACCACGGACACCCATGAGCTCTTCGGAAGACGGCGAAGGATTGCAAAATAACGACAATACTGCGACAAATAACGATCTCTCGTTCTCAACAGCCAGTGGATCTGCTCCACATTCTTCTCGATCGGCCGACGCCGGCCATCGTAGCTTCACGCGACCTAGCGGTCCACCCCTGTCGGAGGGCGCTGACTTGTCCTCATTTGACATGCTGGGGTCGTTGGGCGTCGAGCGAGATGGACTGGGCATTAAAGGGTGTCTGTGTATGCGCGACGAGGGCGTAACGTACCACCGCATGAAGCGCTTCTACTGTCGTTGCGTTGGTGTTAATTTCTTGCGATTTGCATTACGCGATGCAGCGCCCTCAATGATCGCGGCGTTGTTTAGTGCCGAGGTGCAGAAGGTGGAGGCGTGGGACGGTAAGGGCCTCTGGCATACATATCGTCACTCGTTCAAGCTGTCGTTCACGTCGGGTGATGTGTTCAATGTGGATGCTGATTCGGAGGAGGACAAGCGACAGTGGATCGAGTACATCCAGATGGCGCTGAAAGGAACGACGGTTGCAGTGAAAAAATGGACTGCACATGTATCTTCGTGTCCTGACATCATGACACTCACCCCTGGAGGTCTCACATTTGCTGAGAAGAAACGCAATCCTCCTCGGTTTAAAAATGACATGAAGTGCTGCCACCCCGGCTGCCATGTACGATTGGACAGTACTAGCAAGAGACAGCACCACTGTCGAAATTGTGGTGGATCCGTATGCTCGGATCATAGCTCCCGGTTTGCGATGCTTCGACATTTCAACACGAATTACGCTGTACGACTGTGCGTGGGGTGTTACCGCGTACAGAGCTTCGTGTTATGGCTCAACATGTTGCTACAACGTCTAAATATCGCACAAATCGAGGAAAATGGCGTAAACAAACCTGATTTGTCCAAGGCCGACGAAGATGAGGTGGAAGCATTAATTGCGATATTTGAAGACGGCGCTTTTGGTGTTTCCGATGTGATCCAGATGCTTCATTTGCATCGTCACGGGTGTGACGAAGCGTATGCATATGCGGTAAACAAGCTGCTGGAGCTTACAGCGTCGAACCTGGCAGATTTCGAATTTTTTCTCCCACAAATATTTCACCTGTGGCTAACAGTGGACTGGACAACTAACAACATTAAAGCAGCGCTGTTGTTTCGAGTATTGTGTTATGCAACTCAATTGCACATCCGTTTTGCGATGGCCATCTACTGGTTAACTCGCGCAGCAATCGACGATAGCTGCGGCTGGGGTTTCGGTCAGTCCGAGCTGTATGTGCCTGATTTTCTGCACCGAAAAATGAGCATGTGTAAGTTATTAATGATTAATGTGGAGATGCAGGTATCGAATGGTGACTGGTCTTTTGAGGCAGACAAGGATCTACCAGCTTCGCCTGAGCAAACTGTCATCATTAAGTGCCTATTCAGTCGCCTGCTAATCCTTGTTCACTCAGATGCAAAGACCACAATCCCTTTGGGTGCAATTTGCGATGCCATAGGTAGCTGTTCAATTCCTCGGGACTTTCTACTCCCCAGCAGTACACTTCCAGAAGACCCTTGTTGGGGCGATGGGGAGGAGCGTCGGGTGTTCACAACCCAAATCCATTTTATCGAGGAGCTATGTGCGATGGCAGAAAGGCTGAGATTTCGTCCCCCAAATGAGCGAAAGAAGGCTTTAAAGCTGGAGCTTCAAAAGCTTGAGCCGCTGGAGGGTGCGTTCTGTCCACTAGGTTCGTGTGACAATCCGCTGCAGCGGCTGCTTACGATTGCAAAAGATGAAGGCACAGTGTTTACGACAAAGGCTCGTGCACCGACATTAATTTTCTTCGAAGTTGCAAGACTGCAACCAGCTTGTGAAAAGAGTGCATGGTTGGACGGTGGTCGATCTGTCACCTTTAGCGCTCAAAACGAACAGACCTGTGACACCGAAGAGAATATTGACGTCGGTGGTACTAAAGATCTGGCTCCTGCTTTAGAAGCTAAAGTTGCTAAAAATGCTATTGAAATGGCTACAAGCAGTGATATTGCACGAGTGATTGCGATGGACACCTTTATTGGTAATGATGAGCAAGAAAATGACGACGGTAATAGTCTGGGTGACGATGAGTCGTCGGGCAGCGATGATAAAAATAGCAAAAAGGATGAGCAAAAAGACCGTGTTTCGTCGGATCCTTTGCCGTCATTGGCCGCCCTAGCTCGCGCTGTTGGCGGCAAGAAGAAGCGTAATCGCCGTGACCGGTCAGGCTCGTTGAAAAACTCTACGACGAAATCTTTGGATTCTATTATCGCTTCCTGCGCTGACACAATCAAGATTCGACGAAAGCGCTCAAACAGTGAAGGTTCTGCGTTCGGCAGGTTTGAAAAATTGCGAAACAACAAGCTGGGTTCTAAGCTGAGTGAGGTAGAAAATTTTACAGATGATCAATTGATCTCCATGGCTCAGAATATGGAGATCAGTATGTTGAAGTGCAATTCATCTAGTCATGGTACTTTTACAGGTAAAGAAGTCGTGGAATGGATGACTAAGAACGAAATTGTGTCGGACACAGCACATGCACTCTGGCTAGGAAGTGAGCTACTCCGCTGTGGCGCGTTGGAGAAAACGGCGCTTTCATCAAGCTCAAGCAGTGGTTTTGCCGCTAGTGACGAGACGTCTTATCAACTGAAAAGCGAATCGAGCACACTTTTTCAATCTCCTGAGCGCCGCCACACACTGCAGTTTGACGCTCCTCCGATTTCGAAGTGGTCGACTGAAGAACGAGCCTCAGAATATACTGACCAAGAGCGGCTGATGACTCGCACGTCCTCGCGAATTATGTTAAAATCTCCAGAAATGAAGGTGGACATTGCGGACATGGCTGATGCATTCGATGCAAACTTGATCGGCTCACCTCCTGAAGGCGCGCCAAACTCCACCATCATAGCCTCAAGGCCAGTCAAGGAATGCCCGACGAGCTCTACTGACGATAGACGGTCTATTGCGCTGAACGTCGATGGTGACTCGCTTGTTTATAAATTTGATCCTGAAGTAGCCATGAGAGCAATGAACTCATTGGAGCAAACGATGCAGCAATACGTGTTACCGCAAGATGTTGGAAATACTGCCCAACTAAGCGAAGACCTCCACGTGCTACGGGAGCAGCTAAATATTGTGTATGATTATGTTATTGACAAACGGAAACGCTTTCACGTTGCGGTCGAGTCAGCATTTGGGGAAAGTTTTGAACAAAAGAAGGAACGCCTACGCGAACAATCCCACGTTGCGGTATCGGAATCGAAAGATTGGGACTGCGTCGCGTTTATTGTCAAATCTAACGATGACTTGCGGCAAGAGGTTCTATGCTTGCAGATTATTCGTCAGCTGCAAGATATCTTCCAGGGTGCGGATTTGCCTCTTCGCCTGTTGCCGTACGAGATTATTGCGACTTCAGCGTCAACTGGCATGATTGAGTATGTCAAGAATGCAGTGTCTCTCGACGCTTTGAAAAAGAGGGGCAACTACACAACCCTGGCAGACCACTTCTTGAGAACGTATGGCCAGGTGGATTCTGCGGGGTACAAGACAGCAATGACGAACTTTGTGCGGAGCATGGCTGCTTATTCGTTGGCGTGCTACTTTTTGCAAATTAAAGACCGTCACAATGGCAATATCATGATCGATAGCGATGGTCACGTAATCCATATCGACTTCGGTTTTATACTTGGTATCGCCCCTGGAGGGCGGTTCAGTTTGGAGACGGCCCCATTTAAGCTGACAGGCGAAATGGTTGACGCAATGGGCGGCACTCAATCGGACTACTTTAAGGCCTACGTCATCTTTCTTATACAAGGATTCTTGGCTCTTCAGGTACGTATGTGTATGTTTGTAGTTGTATTGGGGCTTAATGCTGATCATCCGATCTTGTGTTCTTTTGTGCAGCAACAGGCAGATAGTATTTTGATGATGATCGCGATCATGGCGCAGGAGTCGTCATGCCCGTGCTTTTTGTCTCAAAATCCGCGGGACATCTTAAGCACCACCAAGCAACTTTTCCGCCTAGACTACAACCAAAGCCAAGTCATTAGACATGTGATCAGTCTCGTCAGGCGCAGCCACAACAGCTATCGTACTCGCCAGTACGACGTTTTCCAGCGAATGACAAATGGCATCTTACCTTAACAGACAGCCTTGCATACATGTGACGTAAACGAGATTGAGACGAGAAGATGCGAAGAAATACACGAATAAATGGACAAGTGGATCACAGCTGTGACGGATATTTATGCCTTATTCCTGCTTCACTTACGAGGACGGCTGTTCGGACGGTCAGTAGCATTGCTGGTCTCACCTTTGACCTTCACCTTTTTAGGAGATGAAAATGGGTTCTTCGATGATGTTTTTTTTTCAGCTTCGCCACCGGCATGCTACCGAGTGAAAAGCGATTCCGGGAAAGCGGCGACAACAGCACGCTGTTCAACTCTTGTGCTGTGGATGCAATCAGATAAAGACACCCAGTGAATTTAATTGCAATGTTTTTTGTTGTGTCAGGGGTACATGCAACGTACATTTTTGAGTAAGTTGCGACGAAGGCATGTCCTCCTCCATGCTGTGGGAGGTTTGTACGGTGGAGTTACTCTGCTTCGACTTCTTCCCCTTCTTAAGAACCACGGGCACAACTTCTTCCTCATCATTATCTACAAGACGAGAGTTCCGTGTAAGAAAAAATCATCATCTATTGCAGTCACAATCATAGCAACGGATCCTAACCGTTCTTGGTCAAGTCAGCCAAAAGGCTCTGCGAATAATCCAGCTCCTCCTCTTCCGACGAAGAGGACGAACTATCCTCCACTGGGGTAGCATTCTTTCGAGAATGCTTCGCTACTTTAACAAAAACAAAGGGATGCTCGGAGTCGGAAGAAGATTCGCTAGCCGTGCTCTCTGCAGACTTCGACGTTTGCACTGACTTTTTATCGGGTGTAAAGGTCGTGGATAGCTTAGCATCTGAAGCCTTTTTCTCATCAGCAATTTGTTTCGTCATGTCCGCTATAATCTTCTCAAAACCAGATTTTTGTTCGTTGATCACTTTTGGCTTTTCGTTCAGCATCACCATAGTAGCTTTTTTAGTAGCAGGAGTCTCGACCACATCTATCTTCTCACCAGAAGCTTGTTCGTCTTCCTGCGTTGCTGACGAGCTAGAAGACTGAGAGCTCGAGCTAGCGCTTGTGTCAGGGATAGATGTCGTAGGCTTTGCTGCCCGCTTTACTTTGTCAGCAACCTTCTTCACCTTTGGTATTGCTTCTGTCTTTGCGCGCTTCACCACTGGCTCCTCAATATCATCAGATTTGATGTCAGTATTCTTCTTTAACTTCGACTTGACAGGTGTCGACTCACTAGCAGTCGACGATTCGACGTCGGTCTTCAGTTCTGACTTCGTTGCTTTCTTTCTTGACGTTTTCGGAATCTTGTTTTGGACAGCTGTCTTCTTTGCTGACATTTCGACCATGCTCGCGGCTATCTCGTCTTCAACCGGCTTCGAAACGTTGTCATCTGACTTTTCCACCGTTTTCTTCTTCTTCTTTGGCAGAGGTTCTAGAGAATCCGGCGCGGTTTTTACTTGAGCTCCTAAGACGTCTTCTTCGTTGGACTTGCGCTTCCGCTCGCTTTTCAGCGGCACCTTTGGCGCGCCGCTTCCAGTATCTTGAAGAGAATTGACTACTAGAGCAGCACCTGATTGAGATGCATCATGCTTTGCCGCGCGCATCTTCTTCAAAAGGGCGTTCTCGCTTCTTTTCGGGGCAGCCTTTTTCACAACTTTCTTCGAGATGTTTTCTTCCGTCCCAGCAACAGGAGTCTTCGAGTCGCTCTTGTTCTCGTTCTTTGCTGTCGTCTTTGCGTCGTGTTTCGCCATCTTGGCAACCTTCCTCGACTTCTCCTTCAGATCAATCTTCTTCTCATCCGTATCTGCCGCGCCAACCTTCTTCGCGTCGTTGCCTTTATTCTTGCTGTCTTGTATTTTCTCTGTAGCATCCTGCGTAGCGTCGCGAGCAGTCTCCTGCTTCGTGTCCTGTAACTTCTTTTCGATAGACGTCTTCTTTGACACCTCTTGCTCCTTCTCCTTCTTATCGTCTTGCACCTCCTTTTCTGCAGAATTGTCGCTTTCAACACTAGTTTTTGCTTGCACACTAAGAGCTGCGGCTGTAATCTTTTTGAGCACCTGTTGCTTTCGAGGAGATTCAATTGTAGCCTTCTTCGGCGCTTCACTTGTAACCTTCTTCGGCGCCTGCTGCTTTTTATTGCTTTCAGGAGTAGGTTTTTCCAGCACTTTAGGAGTTAAATTGAATCTTCTCGGGTACCTGTTGCTTCCGGGCATTCTTGTTGAGGACGATGTAGATTTGCTCCATGTTCTGAAACACGTTACCAACCTGCACGTTCTTTGCTAGGTCCACAAAACTATGAGGTGCCTGCTGAAGTGCCGTGGCGTATGAGCGACGATCGACAACCAGCTCAGGTGACACGCACTTTTGTATGCGCAGGTTGCGGCTGAGTGCCGGTACGAAAGGAAACACTCGCGAGTATTCGTCCACGATAAAATCCTCCAGTTCTGCGATTGTGCGTAGACGTGGCGTCTGTATCATCATCACACGTTCATCCTCTGGCAACATGGCCAATAGGACCATCTCGGTTTCCATAATTGTCAACGTTGTCATCGCGGCTGGATGCTTTTTAGAATTATCATGAATGGCTAGGAAACACTCGTACTTAAACGGATATAGAGCTCATAAAAGGATCGGTCTGTTTATGAACAGCTCACCCTTTGACGAGATCTCAATATGTTTAAACTTGGTGTTATAATACTACGATTGAGGAGAAAATGAAGAGCCTGAATGTATTTTATAACTGATGTGATAGCGATTTCTAAGCGCATTTTCATTGTTTTACAATAGATAAGTGGTTTTATTGCACTTCAAGAGTTAATGCAATGCATAGTCGAGAAAGGTAGTACATGTTACTTCACGCTTTGGAGGAACTCGTCTGTAGTGCCTACTTCAAGTACGTAGTCATTTAGTACGGAATGTTTACGGGACTATTAAGCTCATATTTGAGAATGATAACTTAATTTGTTTGACAAATTTTTTAAAAGTTCTTGCAACGGTGCAGTGAATGCATGTTTAAGCTACTTGTTCATTGCTATTTTAGGTGTATAAATAGTTTTTGTAAATTTCTCATTATTTTCCCCAAAAGTTTACTTTTGCTTTGGGTAATGGCTTTTAGCCTAAATTTTAGAAAGAAGCCTCCTCTTCAAATTTAGTACTGGCATTATTCATCTATTTTACGGGCGCGTACTAAACATAGACTTGGCTATTGTATACGTATAAACTACAAGAGGAACCCGAGACGGATTACGGCAGTCAGAGCTCAATCTGCCCATACAAGGAATCAGAAGACCATGACGACTACAAAGAAGAGCGGACGCCGCCGTCTGAAACAAATGCAGGGCCTACTGCTTCTCTCGCGTCTGGATGATACGCCTGCACGTCGTCAGTCCAAGCTCAAGTCACAGCGTGTGGCGGTCCTGCTCCAACCACAGCTGCTGCAGCTCGCGTACTCGTCGCTGGCGGACCAGGACATGCTGCAGCCGTTGGGACGAATTGATTTACGAGATGCCAAGCTGGAGCAGGTTCCGGACGGATTTATCATCTATGAGACTGGCAACGGGCTCCACAAGGTCAGTCAAGCGAGAGGAAGAATTGTGGGTAGAGTGATGTCAATTGTGACATCTCACATGTATTTTGTATCGCTATGTGGACAACAGAAGCTCAAGCTGCAAGACAAGGACAAGGCCATTACAGATGCCTGGTTCTTTGCGGTCTATACGGCTATCACAGAGTTCGAGCGTCTTGCTATTTTCAGTACTAGCGAAGACGTGGGACACAAGTTCTCGGCTGTCTTATCATCGAGTATGCGTGACGAGCACACAGAGATGGTGGTGCGTGTCTATCCGGTGTCTGATGTGGTCACATGGAGCCAATTGCTGCGACTTAACAGGTGACTGGTTTTCTGTTGTGTCTGCAGGAGTTCGAGTTGTCGTGCCAGTTGATGCTGCCTACGCGTCCGATCGACAAGCCTAGCATTAAGTGGAAGGTTTGGAAGACATTTGCGGAGCTCCAAGCATTTGACGAGTGAGTTGTCGTGATGGCGAATCCGGCTGGTATCGTATTCACTAGGGTACAAGGTTGGTCTATTGACATGCGGTTGTTTTTATGCTGCACAGTGAGCTACGCGTTTCTTTTGGCGCACATATGACGCAGATTGCGTTGCCAAGAGATCGCAAGCGACATTTGCTGTTTGGTGGTATGCGCAAAAAGTCCCTGCAGGAGCTGAAGGAGCAACAGCTTGCTCTCTACGTTGAACAGGTTCTTTTTATTGGTGTTGGAGGAATTTACATTTCTACCCCTGCTTACTCTTTCTTGTGCGAATCGGTATGCAGATATTTCAGATGCCGGCAATCTCGTCTGAACCTGTACTGGTTGGCAAAATAAAGCATTTTCTAGGTTTCGACTCCTTTTTCGAGATAGTGGTAAGAAGTAGCGTTTAAAATGCAAACTCTTGCTGGTTGAGTACTTGAAGTAACATTTATTGTGATGCTGACTTCTTTAGGCGTCCGCGTCGAGTGAAAGTGATGGGATTGACAATGAACTTTCAGAGACGCCCGCAAGTGCCAATCGCCAATCAGATTCGTGTTTGTCGATTTTCGCCGATGCTGGCGAGGCTGATCCAATATCGGAACCACCTTTATCCAGTGAGTCGCAGGGTTTGAGCCAAGCTGCTGCTGAGCCGGTGAGCAGCGAGTCCGATGCGCCCTCCAGTCAGTATTCAAGCACGGAGCATGTCGGTATGCCCCCTGCTTTGCTGATAAGAAAGAGCTCAGTAGTGCTGGGAGATGAGGATGAGGTCTTTGTGGACGTCATTCCAGAAACGGATCCGAAGGCTGCGAAAAAACTTCATAAAAAGATCATTCAGACGGTTCTTGAACTTGTTGCCAATGATGAAGAACGTGTGCAGGATTTTCAGGACCAAACGAAAGATTTTGGCCGTGGAAAGATGTCTGCAATGGAATATTGTGCCTTCCTCCTTGGAGCAGTTGGAGCTCAGGAGTGCTGCAAGCTTATCCAGGAGATGGCCCGACTTCTTCCGGATGAAGATAAGAGAGATGAACTCATGCAGGCGCGAGCAGCTATCTGGAGGCGAACTTACAGGCGACACCGCAGACGTTCTAAACAGATTTCAGAGAGCGTCGTGATGGAAAAGCAAAAAGGGGAGCAGCAATTGGTGGAGAGTGAGCCCAGCAAAATGCGTGCTAAGTCTGAAAGCCTTAACACGCTAAATTGGGAATCGGAGCGCATACGATCCCTCCCGCTTCCGAGAAGAAACTCCGTGGCTGAAAAGAGCATGCCGGCGAATGACAGTGTGTTTCACGTCCAGTCGAGTAAGAGTGTGCTATCAAATTCTACGCCTCGCGTCGTACTAGCTGATCCGCGACGCCATCTCAACCGGAGAGCTTCGTTCAATACTTTCTTTGGGGAGACACTGCAAACGAATCCGATTAAGGAAGAGAACCCAGCTGAAAACGAGTCTGATGGCGACAGTGACGATAGTTTCTTCGACCGACCACACACAGTGAGTAGGGATAATTTGTCGACAGAAAGAGAGTTATCGCTGGACGAGAACGCCTGGACTAGAAAGCGTTCGGACCTTGAACGTCGCAACTCTTCGTTTTTAAATGAAGAGGATGAAGACGAAAGCACCGACGACGATGAAGAAATTCATCACTCGAGCCGTTCTCACCATAGCCGCCACCACCAACAAAGCGGGAGTAGCAGCGGTAGTCTTGAGAAACGGTCTGGAAAAGGTAGACCATTGTCTCGCAAGGGTCTGATACGAACGCGATCTCGCCAGAGCTCTTTATTCATCGAAAGAAGTGGCGAAGACGAAGAAGAAAACAGCCAAACACGATTCCGAAGAAGCCAACGCCACGCAAGCCGCAAATTTGACGAGGAAGCCAAATCTGGACCAGTACCTGAGGAGGAAAATCCCGTGCTGGCACGCCTTAAGAAGCAAGGAGCTGTAAACTTTATGATGCAGCTTCATTAAACGTGCGCATGCATCTCTTTAATAATGTTGGATGAATATCAAAATACTTTATAATTAGTTCTTCGTGCAAGCCTGATGGTGAACTATGTATTGAAGTGTCTGGACTTACTCGTTAAGTCGAAATCGAGCATGAGCTAAAGACTCAGTCCTACGTTGTGCCCAGTTGATCCTATGTTGATACGAGCAATGTTTTCACAATGGGATGATCGTCGTGGCAGCTTAATCGATCTGAAACCAATAGGCTGGTCCATTTTCAAAGTTCACTTATCAAGAGGTGGAAATGAATACTTGGTTGTGAATGTGTCGGTTGTCATTTTGCTGCACATCCATGACGCGTGCATGTGAATACGACAATCAATAGACACAGTGCCTAACATTCGCTCCGAAATGTCCTATGCCTCTAATGCCATTTAGATGTAAACGGATGTAAAGGTAGTCGCCTAGATGTACTCTACCTCGATACTCTTGGCGACAACAACTCAAACACTATTTTCTATCTAGTTCGTAATGAACTCCATGCCCGTTTCAAACACAACGGCCATGATGGCAAAGCCCGCGGCACCTTTAGCAGTATTCTGCACCAGCACTAAAGCCACACCAAATGTCAGCCCACAAAACTACATCAAGACTGCTTTCATCGACAGCATCGTACATTTTGCACCGGAATTTCGCGCTGCCCACGCGCCCAGCGCACCGCCAGACACGCCACCAGCCAAGATGGGGTTCAAGATGTCGTGGGCCGCTCGTTCACGCTCGATCACGCACTCGACACCGGCAAAGATACTCCCAACCAACGCGAACTCCTGTGCACAGCACCACGACACAAAGTCCATTTGTCAGTCAGGTCAACAGCTTTAACACGAAGAAAACTTGTCTTGCCTTGGAAAAGTAGACGCTGCGCACGTAACCAGCCTTAATAGACTTACTAAAGCCATTGTAGAGCTGCAGACAATAGCCAACACACAAGTGTGTCAGTTTGTTTGTTTCCTAATAATGACATACAAACACTCATTCAATTCATCGTCACTCACCTGCTCTCGCATGTTGCGACCCACTAACTCTCCGTGGGCGCCTTCGAACGTGCCGAGAAATGTGCCAAGACCGATGCCCATGGCTGCACCAGCTACACACGCTACAACGCTGCGCTTCCAACAGCTTTCGCGAGATTCCTCCGCGAATTTCATGGCACGAATGATCACGATCTGTCCCATACTCGGTATGCGCGAGTCGTCCATGGTCACGGTCGTCACAATTGGCCGTTCATTCTACCACAAATTTAATTTGCAATTAATTTTGGGAGGCGTTATTTATCACGCACCTTTTTGCTAATCATCACACACCTTAAATTTGTTAGCATCTGATTGGTCAGAATGTCAAATTGGAACATCTCTTTGAAATGACGAAAAAAAGCTGATAAGTCGTCACTAATTTTATGAGTTTTGGACTTTCTAATTTAGCGCTTCTAAAAATCTACTGCTGGGTGCTTGACGGGCATTAGGAAGTGTGTTGTTCATAGAGCACAGGAATATTCAAGCACTACATGACGCATCGATACTATCAACTGGCACGAATCAACTACTGTCTAGCACAGACGATTCCTACACATCGAAGGAGACGGTAATACGTCTACACATCGAAGATTCAAGCAAGCTAGTCTTCCGCCATTCCAAAGGAATGATCTTGAGCATTAGCTTTGACATCACTGTCTTTCTTATTACCAATCTTTTCGTGCCTTTGACTACAACAACATAGCCTTCCTGCCTCCTGTTGTGCATTAGCATTAACTGCGGCTCTTTGCTTGTTCCAAGCAGGCATAGGCAAGCTGGTGCAAGTTTTTCTATAAATAATGAAGAAAAAAGTTTATATTTATTATAGACGTCCTATTTCTGAATGCTAAACATTTAGCCGTTGAAAAATTTGGGATGCGTGGTGGATAGTGGTGATGCATATCACCACCCTTACTTTTTATGTAAGCTCTATTGATACTAATTGATTTGTAGCTCTAAATAATATCACATTAGTTGATATTATCATTTATGACAGGTCCAAAAGAGCTCATTATTCAAATATCAAAACAAGACGAGACGATGCGCATGAGGCTGCGGGCGCCGGACGAGCCCGAGGCTGAGAGCAGCTACGAAAGAGACGATAATAACAGTGCACCCTCTACTCCTGATCGAAGCCTTTTTCTACCACCGCTGGACGTTGGATCACCCGAATATATTGAGGAGCGACTGGAGAATCTCAAGCGTCGTCCCACTTGGGGAAATTTCCTGGATCAATACGTACAGGACCATATGGACAGTGACAGTGACAATGAAGCAGAGGATTATACTGAAGTATCAACGGCCTCTACTTCTGGATTCATCCGCTCGACGCTCTGGTCGCTGCTAGTCGTGATGGCCGCACCATTGCTGATCTTCTGCGTCCCGTGCTTGAGACACAAAAGTTACGGGTAAGTAAAGATTGAGATTGCGTTATGTAAGCACTCATTTTCTGATTCAGAGGGTAATGACTTTGTGTGAATACTATTTGCTGATAGATTCTGGCCATTGGGGTGTCGTTCGATCAAGGAACTCTTTGGTCGTGCACTAATTCATGTGATTTTCATTGTGTTTGGACTTGGATTGCTATACTGGACAGTTTGTCGAGAACTGCCGGACATTTTTTGTCTGGATCATGCGCTTGTAAAGCTCAACGTACAGATACTTAAGATGATACACGCAGTAGATACGTGTCATGCGGCATTACTGCAATGGGATAGGGCGGTTGCGCAGAAGTTGTGTATGCCTGCGGGCATCGATATCGTGTTGCTGCTGGTGAATACATGTCTGCTGCTGCACTGTCATTGTCGATGGGCTAGATACCTTATGGTACTCATGGCCGTAATGTTTGTGGTGGATATGCCTACAAAACTGTATGACGTCACGTTTCCAGCTCCAGAGATCCACATGTTGGACCCAAATTTTGCTTTGGTTAATGAAGAAGTGCTGGTAGCGTTGGATGGAAAGAACCTGAAGCATGGTGGAAGCGTTGCCTGGGTAGCGTATTGGGGATGCGCAATTACAGCGAACATTGATGCGTGCGAGAAGCAGTTTGTATCTACGTTCGAAGCTGGTAACGTTGCTGTGACGTTTAAGTCACTCGACCATTTCATCCCTTGCTATCGCGATCCACCAAACCCGCTCAAGGCGCAAGACTACCAGTGTTTTGAGTATGTTCGCATTCGGGTGAAGGAAAAACACAGTATTCCAGGATGGTCACGGCTGGCGACCCAGACATTGTCCAAGTCTATGCAAGCCTTGCCACCGGTAAGCGATGAATGGCTGAACAGGCTGGAGATCTCTTCTTTTCAGCGTGAAACGGAATCACAACCCTCCAGAATCAGCCACGCTATCATTAAACCAACGAAGAGTAGGTGGCCATTGGCGACATTTACAGAGTCAATGGAAGCAACCGAAGCCGATATTTGTGTTTCGTCGTCCGAATGTCTTACGACGGAAAGCGATGGACCGTCTGCGCTGGGGAAAGAGCCCGTGGAGTTATCGAGTGAGGGAGATGCTGAGGAGAGTGAAGGCACGTTATGGAGCTCTCAAGAAAGTGTACTAGAACGTGGTGTGTCTGCGGCAGGAACAATTGCAGAAGGGAAGCTAGTGGAAGCTGAAGTGACACCCGATACGGAAATGAAGATGATCCACGCTACCACCGAGTCGAACGTGGACCAAAGTGACGATGCCACCCCGTTAGCTGAAGGCTTGCAGCAATCAAGCTATACCGAGGAAGTCATGTTCGACAAGTCTCGAAATCAGGTCGACGTGGTCTCGGCTAAAAATGCTGAAGAAACAGAACATGCACTCGAGAAGGAATCAGATGTTCTTGGGAATGAGAGAGTACGAGCTGTCGATGATAAATGTATGCTGAGCACCACAACCGAGATTCTGGATGACGAAGAAAAAGTACAGGCGACCTCTCGAGACAACCCGAGAGAACGAGAATACATGCAGAAGTGGAATGAGACGCTGGAACAAGCACGCATGAGGCTTCCTTAGACGAGGCAAGCTCGTCTGTAATATGAGCAGAAGAAGTTGGATTCAGAGCAAGAAACAAGCAACCGTTCGATCAAGCGGAGACCACTTCGTCGAGACCGCTAGATATCGCTAATAATCGTACGCAGCCTCAGGGAAGCAAAAAGAAGCGGAAGGGCTCAAAGCGGAAGGGCCAACGTGAAAAGGAGTCTGTGTCGGCTATCGTGGATAACGCTGCCACCGCAGAGTAATGTAGGAGCCAAGCTATTATAGTTTGAACAATATTTTCTATTCTTCCTGACTGACGCCTCCACGTCTGTGCAGTCAGGCAGACTAACACTTGATAGCAATTACACCACGGATGCCGTCTCCGATGAGCTTTGCGCTCCGGAGATAGCGTCACGCAACACTTCGGCTAGACGAAAGAATTTAGCGCTCTCGAGTTGAGCACTTTCGCGATTTGCCTCGCACAGCTTTGCCTGAAGTACAATCTTCTGTTCCATGTGCTTCTCTCGAAGTGCTAATTCACGCTCGCGAAGCTCAACCTCCTTCTTAAATCGTATTTTTTCAAACTCCAGTTTTTCACGATCCAACGCGATCTGTTCCGTTAAATGCTTTTCGTAATCAAACGTGCCCCGTGCACTAGAAGACGCTGAAGCGGCACTTGAAGCTGCACTTGAAGCTGCGTCATTGCATCGTAACAACAAGTTAGAATTTCCTCCGCGATCAAAAGGTACGAGCAGGTGTATACCGTCGGACTTACCGTTGTAAGCCTAAACCAAGTACCCAAGATCAATTCACACCACCGAGTTAAAAAACTGATACAAACCATCTCAATAAAGTATCAACACTTACCAAAGATGCCGTCATTTGTGTCGTGCTGTGATTGACTCCGTTGAGCCCAGTCGACGTCTGCGCTACCTGAGTTGCTACAACTTGTGCCGCAGCATGTTGTGCCTCACTAATCGCTGATGCTTGTGCCAATGCATGCGCCTGAGCATACGTCATGTCCGATTCTGGATTCAGCGCTGATCCTCCAAGCACCACGTCGTCCACCATCGAAAGTTGGTCATAACTTTGCAACTCTCCCTGCAACCGTAGAAAGCGTGCCCTAACCGTATCTTGCTTTGGTAGCATCTCGTATTCTACCCACCGTCGTGGATGAGCACCCTGTAAGTGGCTCCGAATATTATCCACCCGAAATGCTCGAAAGAATTTGGTAGTAGTCAAGGAGCGTCGACGTCTCTTTTTCGAATCGTTGCCCGTCTCCTGGTCTCGTCGCACCAGTTGCTCGTACTTTCCCTCACGTCCAAAGGCTTTACAGAAGCCACACATGGCCAGCAGCACGTCTCCGGACACGGCGTCTCTCTCAATCGCAAGCAGACCAAACTCCATCTCGTACTTGGGCTGCCAGTTGTGGCGTCGAGACTGCTTCATCACTGCCCGACGCTTCTGTGTTTCCTTATCCTCCTCCTCCTCCTCCTCACCTTCAAATTTGCGACACGTACCGACAAGCTGCTCATTGTCTTCGAACTTCTCTAATGGCGCTGCATCGACTAGGAGCTCCTCAGACCGATGTGTGTCCATGCTTCATTTAAAAATTAGGTTTTTAGAAATAACTATTTGAAAATAACTACAATTTAGGAGCCCAGTCTAAAAACTGTGCTCTAAATTCAAACGACATGAAGGCACAATATCCTCAAAGGTTGCGAACGTGGATTTGAAAAGCATAACAATATGAGCATGACTACTTTGCTACGAGCATCTATATTGCAACCGGCTGCAAAAGCGAAAAGCTGCCTGTACCCACGCGTGGAGGCTGGCCAAGCACCAGGCGAGCAGACGGACTCTCTAACTTGTCCACGAGACCACCCAAAGCAGCCTGCGACAAGAACTTCATGGACGTTTCAAACGTAATCTGCTGCAGGGACGAACCCTTGTAATTCATACCCATACGATTGAGCGGCATGTACCCGCCCTGTGTCGTCATGTAATCGGCCAGCAAGCTCAAGTGACGAGGGTCAACGCTGATACCATACACGCCGAACACGTCCGTAATCTGCTTTGAAATACTAGCGCGTGCGGCTTCAACACCGTATGTCTGTAGCACCTGGTAAATGTCGTTGGTAGCAAGATTGTTGACATCCAAGATATCGTCAAAGCCCCAAATTTCCTGGAAGTTGAGACCCTCCGTCTGTACGCACGGTTTCTCCTCCTGCGATTCGCCAATGCGCTGGTTAATCAAGTAGCAGCGTGAGATGCCAGGGCAGTACTGCACCAGCACCTGCTTGGCGACCTTCTCTACGAGCGGCACCATCAGCAGCGTCTTGGCGTGCGTCGGGAAACGCAGGTGCAACTCCACAAAGTTCTCCTTGTCGTTACGTCCGCAGAAAACAAAGTATGGATTCTTGCGCACACTGTTGGGTACGTCAAGGGAGTCCATGCCGTCAGCGGTGAAGGTCTTCTTCGGTTGGTTCTTGGAGACGGTCTCCATGGACTCGTGATCCGGATTGCCAGAGTGATTGCTCTCCTTGTTGTCCGTCTCATCATCAGTATCGATATCCGAGTCCTCGTTAATCATCTGCGACTTCCGAATCTTCTCGTCCTCTTCGTCCATCTCGCCATAACCCTGGACTTCTCCACGGCTACCAAACCGAAGAGTTCCCTGCTCATCATCGTCGTCGTCATCGTCATCATCGCTTTTCTTTTTCCGGTTCACCTCTGAATTCGAAGATGCTCTAAAGCTGTTCTTCTCCGCCGCAGCAGATACAGCCACACCACTCTTCTTCATCTCACGGGAGATAAGCGTGAGCAGCTTGCCAACGAACCCTTGTCCGACAGAGTTGAATATCTGGTCAGCACTCAATTCGAAGACGCGTTTAATCTCTTTCAGCTGGAAGAAAGTCAAACGGATGTGGTAATCGCGCACCCAAAGAATACCATTCTCGCTGCTGTGGAACTGATCCTCAACGCGAACACCGTTGGTACTGTTGATAAGCTCCGAAAGAGATACCTGGTTCAGACGTTGCTCCACCTCCTGCGCCCGTGAGGACTCAACATCACTGCGAAGTGGGATAGTCATCATAGGAGTCGACATCTTCTGACTAGCCGTCATGATAATTTCACGCAGACGCGGGATACCCAGCGTCACGTTAGCGGCACCATGGCCAGCAAGATGGAACGTGTTTAGCGTCATCTGTGTCGAAGGTTCACCAATACCCTGCGCAGCCAAGATACCGACATTCTCGCCAGGCGCGCACAGACTGCGAAGGTAATTTACCCATACAAGAAGCTGAAACGCATCGGGGCTTACGGCATGCTTCGACTGCATGACGTCGCGATCTAGCTCACCGTCTGCAGCACGTTTACTCTTCTTAGACTTTTTGCTCTTCTTCTTTTTCATCAGTTCCAAACATTTCGAAGGGTTGCGCTTGTTGTACTGGCGCAACTTGTCCTGAATACGTTCCGAAATTAAACCGACGTGCTCGTTCAACGGCAAGCTCTGCATGACCGGGTCTTCAAATGAAACCTTGATAATGACTACCCGACCAGACATGGCACGAGTTGCGTTGATCGATTTGCTGACCTTAAACTTGGTAGTGCGAGGCACGCCAAACGCCTTCAGGCCTGTGTCCAGGTATTTGATATCGTACGTGCACTCGCGAGGATCCTCAGTCTCGCCAGCCACCGCCACTATCTCGGCTGCATGCAAGCCAATTTCAATGTGCCCCCGCTTCCACTTGGTCTCTCCTTGTTTCAAGCGTCTGGCCATGACCTTCACACCAGGCTTCAACACCGTCGACGTGCTAGTGAAGTCATTCTCTTTGGCTTCACGAGCCTCTTGGTGAAGCTTTAGAGGCTTCATGATGTCCAGCTTCGTCTTTTCGAAGAACTTGGCGTTGATACCGTACTTGTGCGAGATACTGCGGTGATTCATTGCCTGGAAATCGAACTGCGCATCCTTACCGGACAGCATGGCACTTTGCACTGGATCAATTCCATCTTCACCGTATAGGAACTGAACCACATTACCGTCGCCGTTACGCACAGTGTGGTCATAGCCGACCTGCAAATCTTCAAGATGCTTAACCAAGCAACGCTGAAGATAACCGCTTCGACTTGTCTTCACAGCCGTATCGACGAGACCTTCACGACCAGCCATACAATGGTGATAGTACTCCTGAGGACGCAGGCCAGTAAGGAAGCGGTCCGTAACGTAACCACCAGCACGAGGAGCAGGGTCAAATGGCTCAAACGACGGGAGTGACCGACCACTGCAGAGGATAGGGACACGACGGCCTTCAAGGGCTTGTTGACCGAGTCCGCATGAAATTTGTGAGTGGTTCACCATGGAACCTTTTGCACCAGTCAGTACCATGAGAGAAAAGTTATTCTTCGGAAACGCCTTCGACTGACCCGATGGTAGACACGTCTTTATAATGTCACTGTTGGATCCGTGCACGCAGCCCATCATGTGGGCATCCAGTGCTTTAGCGTTGTCATCAGCATCTGGTCCAGATAGCAGTGTACGCATACGATCGCGGATCTGCGCACGCTCCTCCTCGTTCATACGGCGCTTCTTGCCATCCTTCTCAGATGCATGCTTCTTCTCGAGCATATCAGCAAGACCGGCAAACTCGGCGTAGGCTTCTTCACCCATGACCTCCGACTCCTTGACAAGTTTGCTACGACGCTTTTCGGCCGCAACGTTAAGCGTCAAATCCTCCATTGCACAAGTATGTCCGGCAAATTGCAAGTAGCACGTGAACAAGCGGCCAAGCGCAGATAGAAAATCGGCTGCGATGCGAGCACCATACACTTCGTAGCAAGCGTGTACCATGCCGTACATGCTTGCACCAAACTGACTCTTGTCTAGAACACCCTGAAGTAGCTCTCCATCGCGGAAGATTACAATATGCTCGCTGTTGGATGATCCATACAAATCACCCTTAATCTTAGACTTGCTGTCGAGGTTTAAAGACGGCAGGCCCTTCGTCAGCAGCTTTAGAATCGAAGTGATCACTTGCTTGCCCGTCCAGAGCGGCTTCGGCTTGAGAATCGCAGGTGGCACGGTTTCGATGTGCGCCACGTCCGCTCCAGCATCCTCCATGCTGGCCCAGGCATTGTACAGAAGCTGCATGTACATATCCTTCGTCAGGAATGTATCACGTTGCGTAAGCTTCACACCCGAGTCAACGTGATCCTGGATAAGACCACGCAGTGGTGAGCCATCTGTCGGCACAATATACTGGTTGTCGTTACATGCAATGTTGTATGCTTCCGAACGTGCCAGCTCATTTTGCGGAAAGTGCATGTTCATCTCATCGCCATCAAAATCGGCGTTAAACGTGTTACAGTTTGCGTAATGCATACGTATCGTTTGCATTTTTGGGTTTGTAAGAACACGCGTGGTATGAGCCATAATACTCGGCTTGTGCAAGGTCGGCTGACGGTTCATTAACACAACGTCACCAGTCTTCAGGTGACGCCACACGCGCTTCACGCGATTCTTGCTCGTACCTTGAGCGCTGACTGACCTCGTAAGCAACGTCTTACTGATAGCTTCACGTTGGTGCGGAGAACGCTTGCTCAAATCAATCAGGCGACCATTCTCGCTCTCCACAAAATTTGCACCAGGGTGCACATCCGGTCCGTTGACGACGAGCTGGCGCATTTCCTCCACGTTCCATGGTGTCACCGGCTGAGGGTATGTAAGTGTCTTGGCGAAACGAAGCGGGACGCCAATCTGACTAGTACTGATGTACGGATCAGGAGAAATGACCGAACGAGCGGCGTAGTTTACACGCTTACCCATCATGTGCTTGCGGAAAAGACCCTCCTTCTTTTCAATAACCTGTTTAATACCCTGAGCAACGTCTACACCGGGCTTGGCTTTACTGCTGTCCACGAGAAGATTTACAGCGTTTTGCAGCTCCGTCCACAAAGCAAGCTTGCGCGAGAGATTCACCTGCTCCTCCTTTTTAGCATCATCTTCATCAGAAGTAGTAGCGGACTGACGCTTATAGTAATCGCCCTGAACAATACTTTCACTAAGGGCCATAATCTTAGACAGATGAGAATTCTGGGCGTGCTCAAACTGCTTGTCACCCATGAACACAGGTGGGCGGAAACGCGAAGGTGCAACGGGAATCACGTTTAAGAAAAACTTGCGCCAGCCGTCAGGCTTACGCGCAGATGTACGGCCACTGGCAATATTGCGGTCGCCATAGAGCAGCTCCATAAGACCATCTTCATTCTGCCACATCAGCTGCAGCTGCGACTGGACCTCCAGAGGTGGCAAGTATTTGCTACGCGAGGAAGAATCTTCAGTTGTAGCATACGCATCTTCGTCATCCTCTATTTCCGACTCAGAGTCGTTGCCATTCATACCTTCATCGTCCTTGTCCGACAAATTGCCACGAATTGTGTCCAGAGCCGACGTCACCGTCAAGTTCTTCGATCTGTTCACCTTACGTGAACGAGCGCTGAGTCCCTTCAGAAAGATCTTGGCGTTGGCATCTTGTCTGATAGCAGGCGAAATGGCTCCACAATTCTCGCAATTGTTCTTCATCCCCTTTAGAAACTCGGCTATCAGTTTCTCGCGAGTTACTTCAGCAAGACGAGGTAGTGGACGTAGCAGCTGCGCTTTACCATTCATCTTGTTGTTACTATTAGACAGAGCAAGTCGCTCGTACTCGTCTAGAATGGCCTGTTGGCGCTGGAATGTGCGCTGAGGTGGCTCATCCTCCACGCCATTACGCTGCTCAAGCAGCTCATCCAACTGGTCCGTCTCGTTCTGAAAACCATTGTCCAGTAACAGAATCTTTACACGCACCACACGCGAGCGTGCGCTAGCGACACGGAACTTGTGGCACGTAAAGCACTTGCGCTTGAGTAGATTGAGCATCTGACCAAAAAGCACGGGGTTGTACACGGGCACAGGCAGCTCGAGGTGCCCAAGATGTCCAGGACATTCTTTCTGCGTTTGATGACACGTGAGGCAGATCATATTGAAGTCGATGGGACCCAGTGCCGGGTCATACAGACCGCCTACCATAGGATTATTAAGTGCATCGAAACTCAGGCGACTCGTGAGCTTTTTGACGCTCAGATCGCGGATCTCAGCGTCACTATAGAAACCAAAGGTCACCTCCGCCACCTCGTGACGAAGGATTGTCTGATCTGTGGCTGAGTCCATCGCAATGAATCCGCGACTTTAGCTTCTTGCCGTGGAATGCGCACTTCGGTTGGCTAGGAGCCAATTTTGACTGGTGAGTACCAAACGACGTTGCAATACAAGATTATGACCAGTCATGTGCGACCAATGACTTTGGACCAATGAGAAACGACTAGTGAATATGTTGAAGTATGGCTACATCCATGCACTAAAGATGGCTACAGCTCGATTGATTTACCGGACTGTTCTTGTTGCTACTGTATGTTTTCGCCTATGCCGCCTCCTCATACATGCCACAGTCAGTGATGACGACAGGTGGAGTGGGTTTGTCACCCTTGTCCGTCTCCAGATCTTCCACACGCTTCACAATCTCGAAACCCTCCACGACCTTGCCAAACACTACGTGCTTGCCGTCTAGGTGTGGTGTGGGCACAGTCGTGATAAAGAACTGCGACCCGTTCGTGTCTGGACCGGCGTTGGCCATAGACAACAGACCTCCCTCCGTGTGCTTGAGTTTGAAGTTTTCGTCCGGGAATTTCTCACCGTAGATGCTCTCGCCGCCTGTGCCATCGCCACGCGTGAAGTCACCGCCCTGGATCATGAAACTCTTGATCACGCGGTGGATTGAGCTGCCCTTGTAATGCAGCGGCTCGCCCGTCGTGCAGTTACCCTTCTCGCCCGTGCACAGTGCACGGAAGTTCTCAGCCGTCTTCGGGCACACGTCCTTGTACAGCTGCATCACAACCTTGCCGGCGTCCTCCTCACCAATCTTAATGTCAAAGAACACCTTCGGGTTGTTCGGATCCAACTCAGGCTCATCTTCCACAGCCGACTTGTCTTCGTACATGGACACCTTGCCAAACATGCCGCCGAACACACTCTTCTCCTTCTCACGCGCCTCCTTCATCTTCTTCTTGAGTACTTCCAATTCACGACGAACGTCGCGGTTGGCCGGGTCCTGCTTGCCAGCAGCCAGCAAATCTTCCTTTGCGCGCTCCAGGTCGTTTAGGTACATGCGGCCGACGCCACGGCGGTACAGCGCCTTGACATTAAACGGTTCATTATTCAGCGCCTTGGTGGCTACCGACACTGCTTCCCCATAGTTCTCCACCTTCAGATACGCCATGGCGGCGTTTAAAAAGCACGTGGTCTGCAACTGCTTCATCGTCTCCTTGTCCTCATCATTCACGTCGTACATGTCTTCCATATACGACGCCGCATGAGCGTACGTGGCCGCGGCGACGTCAAACTCTTTGGCTTTAAACTGCTCTGTTCCCTTTGCCTTGAGCTTGGTCGCCTCGGCAATCTTTTCCTCGGCGTCCATCTCCCACATCTCCTTGGCCTTAGGGCTGAAGCCCAGCAGCTCCACATCAAACTGAAGCGTCGCATTGGCCGGGATCTTGGGCGGACTCCCGCTCTCGCCGTATGCGTACTCGGGCTTGCACGTCAGGATAGCTTTCTACAGTCACAAGAAATGCCAGTCAGTACAGTAATGGACTCTCTCTTTATCAGGCCTCTGTGTACTCCTTACCTCGCCAACTTTCATTGAAGCAAAGGCCAAGTCCCACGCCTTGATTACGTTGCCTTTACCCAGCACAAACTTGAATTCCGAGTTCCGATCGCGGGAACTGTCAAACTTGGTCCCGTCTAGCAACGTGCCGGTGTAATGAGCTGTCAATCGATAGAAAAACCAAGTCAGGAACCTCATTGTAATGCTACAAGACCAGGTAATTCAAGAGTACGAACCGCAAATCTCGTATCCGGCGGGCGGACATTCACCCGATCCTTCAACGTACGTATCCTTGAGTACGCCACCGTCTCCTGACAGGTCTACGGGTTCCGTCATGGTCACGTCGGTCATGTTGCTTTCTTTTGGTCGAATTCCTTACTGAAGTGAAGTTCTACGATCCAATTTCAGTCAATCGATTTGTACAGGTTTCGTCCTGCACTGTCGAATGTTCTGGAATCTCACAAAACTGCAAGTGTGAGACTAAACATCAAGTTGATGCTACGATTGATGTACTGTACTCACCATCTTCATATTGTATTGCCAGTCGACATTGTTGCCAAAAATAGTTTGAATGCGTCTCAGAGTATTCGGCGACAGTAGCACTTTAGTTGAGGGAGGTCCTATAGCGTCCTATGCACTAACCGAGATGTTGCTTCAACTGATGTTGTCAAAAATGATGTGACTTTCCCGTCGGACACATCCGTTCATCGTAGAGAATAGTGTTTCCATTATCTTCGTGAGTAGTAGGTATTTGTGTGTCCAAGCTGTTCGCAGGCTGCTCTCGACCGATGCTTAAGTATAACTGAATGAGCAAGTGACACTTGCTTACTATAAGCCAGCAAAACGGAGGCCAAAACCTCTTGTGTCGCTGCGCGCTGTCGGCTTATTATGACTGTCAAATTGAGCGTAGGCGTTTCGTGCTGCGCGTTCAGCACAATGGCACAGCCGTACTCTTGTCAGCTGAGGTTCGGCTTAAAAGTTTGTGTACATGTGTGACTCAAAGCAGAAGTCGGTTTTCAATAACGTTGGCATGCCTTTGTTAGATTAAGCATTTGAGGGCACAAGGTCATATATTGCCCTCTGTCAGAGAGGGAGCAGTGCAACGTCTTTCAGCTGACAGGAGCAGAGACATTGGAAGGCCTTAGCTTACGCGCAAATCGTGTCATATTCTAACAACGTACGAGTTTTTGGCGATCGAAGCCAACTTGTAAGCGATCGAAGCGCGTTAGTTAACACGATGATCCGTCAATTGCTGCATTTAAAGCCATGCCGTGTGCAAGTGAAAGCTGAGCAAGTCTGCAGTACAAAAACCGACTCCTAACGCAGCTCCCGCAGAAAAGCTGATAAGGAAGCGGAAACGGCTTATTGATGAGTGATAGCGCAATTGTCCGTGATATGTAAGACTTTGCTAAGGCTGCAGACAAACGCATGCTTAGCTAGCAAGCGATAGAAAGAAGATAGTGGAGCTTTGAGATGGACTTATCAAAACTTCCGACGTTCTTTTCACTTGTACATTTGGTTTGTGCGACGTATTCGATTGTTCAGTTTTCCAGTTGCATCTCCAGTCGCACTTTACTCAACTGTGTCTAGTCATATGCTCGTATATGCTCTCTGGAGGACTGAACGGCCGTGTTGCAATGTACTTGCATCACAGGCATTGACGCGCTCTAAGATTGCAGCTTTTTTTCGCTTTGGTGTTTTTCTTGTACCATTTCCAAAGTCTCTTCCGAAGAATTAGCTTGAATGTAACGAGAATGCTTGAAACAATTATAGTTGAGGCAGCAGGCTTACGTCCTAGGTTTGTGTCTGCCTAATGAGATGCGCCACATTGTTTAACAACCATGTCAGCATCCAGCAACTGATCACAAGCGAGAGCTGTCAAGATCATTAAGTTTTCAACCGTAGTCGATTCTTTTCTTAGTTATCGCGTTCCTTTACGCCTTCAGCTTCTCCAAAGCTAAAAACGAGGTGATAGTGGACTTGGAGGTCTCTTCAGTGATCGTAGATAGCAAGCCGTCAAGAGTCACCATCACTTTACCGCTCTGGCTTACTGTGCTTTATTCTTGAGAGCACCTTCGAGCGCCTTTAGATTAGCCGGTCCACCCCAAAGCGACTTGAATACGTCATGCTCGTACGAAACTATAGCATCCATATTCATGTCGTCCGCACTGTTAATGACGCGTTTTGCACCGTGAGAAACCGCTGCAATAGCACAATACCACAAGTTAGCTTTGAAGCGATATGCGAAGAATCTAGATATACAGGCTGCACCTGGCGTAATTGCATCAAAGGGAGTAACGAAGCTGCAGATAGCTGCACCAGCACCATCACTTGTCGCGTCAAAAGTAAAGTCCGCAAGCTTCAGCCCCAACGCCCGTTGCGCCGACAACTTTTCAGCCGTACACAATAGTCTCAGTGCATCTTGCCGCCCCACAGTTTTATACAGCCACACACCTCCACCCCACGCAGGTGACACGCCCATGCGAGTTTGCACGAACTGGATCACCGCTTTTGTTTCAAAGATGCGGAAGTCGCACGCAGTGGCCAGCTCAGCTCCGCCGCCATATGCGCCGCCTTCAATACACGCGACACTGATCAACGGCAGACGTCTGAATCTCGTCAGTGTATCGGTCATCAGTTGGCTCATTGCAGCCCCCGCTTCTGGCGACGTCATGTCCTGCTGCGCGATTTTCAAGTCCGCCCCAGCACAAAACCAACCGCCAGTTCCCCTGAGCACCACCGTGTTCAGCTTGTTATGGATTTCAGGATCCTCCAGAACCGCCACAGCATCTGCCAGCTCCGCCATCATTTTCCCACTCAACGCATTACGCGCCGCCGGACTGTGGATCTCCAGAACCGCCGTCTTCTGCAGAGATTGCAATTCCACTGGAAGAGACGAGTACACGCCGAACCTGCATCTGCTAGACAGGAACGGTAGATACAGTACCACACGATCGTCGCTTCTGCTAAGAAGACGTAGCACCTCGCGACTCGTAGAGACGAGCGCGTCGCGATCACCCGCCAGCTCGTTCACGAACGCAAAGAGCTTCAAGTCGGTCATTGTGGGTGTATCAGGAGTAATTGTTGAAGATGAGCGATATCGAAAACCCCCAAGTCACTTGCAATTGACAGTCTGGTCGTGCAATGGAATAGATGGACTCCCTATTGACGGGCAACGACATGGAAGTATATGGACTGACCGACAATTGGAGTTCGGATGTGATACTAGACCTGAGTCGCGAGTTTGAGGCGTATCCCGATTGAAGCCGCGTCCAGCGCATGCAGATTGTGCACGTCATCTTCAATCCACATCAGACCGTCAACTGCTTTCAGTGCAGCTAGAAAAAGCTGTGGATGATAGATTGCACCCGATGAGAGAGATGTACCGATTCATGAAGAGCTACGAGACGATGCGGATGGCGTGCGAGGATTCGAAAACCTGATGGTTTGATCTCACCAAACCCGAGCGACGAGCTGTTCGTGCAGCGTACAAGATCCGTGTACCGAATCTTGCCTCAGGCGTGTACAAGGAGCTAGATATGCTAATGCCGAGGATGAACCAGGTTTCTCCAGTGGATACTCCATTTGAAAACTGTACGAAAAGCAGTGCCGTTGTTGGTTCTTGAAGGGAGCCAGCACACAGCGCCAATACTGTTCAATAAATAACGGTGTGCCGTCGGCTTCGGGGCAATCTTCCTACAGCACAAGGGGTTGTACTCAGAATGAAAGCGTGTAGGCAGGTCAGACTACTCGTGAGAGGTGGTGCAAAGCGCCTCGTTGATATCGCTCCTGCCGCTGTAACGAACACGACACCAGCAGATGGCAACGGGACTTTGCATCAGCAGCACCAACAGAACAGCAAAATAGCTTCAATGACTGCAGTACAGAATGTCCAGTCGTCAGCAGCAAGTCTCGTGTCAAGGCACACCTCGAAGAGGAAGCGAATAACGCAAGAGCAGATAACATCTAGCCAGGTATCCAATGGTATCCATATGCAGGAATGATCGACTCTCATCCAACGTGAAAGTTTCTGGAGCAAATGCTTCAATCAATTGCCCAAGAGCGTGAGGATAGTCGTCAGCAGCACATTAACACAGATGAGTGCATGGCGTGAAATTGTGGCGTTGCTGAAACAGCACAGGTGATCAGTTGCTTGCTAAGTGGTACGCTATACAATCAGTCAGGTAATACATGTATGGAGCTAGACATTTTTCTTCACTTTGTCAGTCTGCCGGACTAAAAACCTACTAATTCTAAGTTTAACACATCGTGGCCGCATCTTGTAACTGACGACGTGAGGATGTCGGAAGATGAAGACGCCGTTCGTAGCCGCCTCATTGGTGAGTCGGACGTGCTAGCAGCCGTAATGAGCGAGTATCTGGATGAGAATGCGAGCAAGAAGGACACGTCAGCGGCTACAGTGTGTCTCGGACGTGTATTCATGACTACGTTTCGCTTTCAGTTCGTACCCGATGAGCACGAGTACGACCGTGCACGGCGTCACCTGCTGAACCGGAGCGAAGACGAGATAAAGAGCTTTTTTCTTATCCCTCTGGGCTGCATTGCATCAATCAAGAAGAAGAATTCAATTGTGGAAATTTCCACGAAAGACTTACGTCAATTGTCATTCCGATTCGATGTCGTGGAGATCACAAAGGTTATGGATGACATGTGGTGGTGGCGTATGGATGCAAAAAAGACGGACCCTTATTGTAGTTTTGTGGATATGTGGTGCAGATATTCTCCGTGTTGACGACGTACGTGTTTCCGGATAAAACTGAGTTTTTGTTCGCGTTCTATCATAGGTAGGAGAGATAGCAATACTGTTGTGGGATGTGCATGGAAGTGCTGAGTAGATCGATGGGTTTTTTTGTGTACTAGACTGTCAGAGAATATGCTGGAAGAAGAACCACTATTGCCGTGCTCTTTGGACTGGGATGTCTATAATGATCAGGTCGAGTGGGAAAGGCAAGGCGTGTTTGAAAATGGAAAGTGGAGAGTCACGAACTGTAACGCCAATTTCTGCGCGATTGATACGTACCCAGAGCGACTTGTTGTCCCGGTTGACGTGACAGATGAGGTACGATTACATGTTTTCAATTGTGTAGTTCTGGGTCGAGTTCTTATGTCTCTATTACATAGGTGCTTTTAGATGCCATGAACTTCCGCTCTCTCGGCCGTATCCCGTGTCTGACGTGGCTAAATGAAGTGAACGGAGCTACCTTGTGTCGGTCTAGCCAACCAAAGGTTGGAATGTCAAAAGCTACATCATCCGCAGACGAAAGCTTAGTTGCGGGAATCGCATCGTCAAGTCTGTTGCAGGACCAACTGCAAATAATTGACTGCAGGCCGATGTCGAGCGCACTGGTATTGCGTTGGTTAAGTACTTGAGTACTGAACGCGCAAAGCATCCATTACTAATTGCTTTTTCTGATACCTTTAGGCAAATCGCGCAAAAGGGTATGGCGTCGAGAGCTCTGTCAACTACAAAAATTGCACAGTGAGCTTTATGGAAGTCCCTAATATCCACTCTATGAGAGAAAGGTGAGAAGTTACTGGAATTGGCTCTTACGTGATAAAAAAGACTTACTGACGCAATTGCTAATGCCCATCGTATCATGCAATACCACTAGCATGAGAAAGCTGCGCAACCTCTGTGCGTCGCCTTCATGTGACAATTTGCGGTGGCTTGGAAGTGTCGAAGACACGAAGTGGCTAGTCTATATTCGCCAGCTTCTGAAGGCAGGTCTTCATGTGGCGGCGCTACTTCGATCGGGGGAATCGGTATTGTTGCACTGTAGCCATGGCTGGGATCGAACAAGCCAGATCGCGTCGCTTGCTCAAATTATTGTGGACCCATACTTTCGAACATGGAAAGGGTTTCAAGTGCTGATAGAAAAGGAATGGCTTTCCTTCGGGCATCCTTTTCATCTCCGGCATTCGCACGGTGAGAAAGCGGATACGCAGGAGTCACCAATCTTTATCCAATTTCTGGACTGTATTTCGCAACTTGTTCGAATCTACCCAACCTATTTCGAGTAAGTTAACTCACTGAAGGTGCATTATGTTGGTGCAGTCATGGCTGGAATAATAAAGTATTGTCTTGTCTGGATATTGCTCCGTGCACAGGTTCAACGAAGGACTCCTGCTTTTACTAGCCGATGCATTGTATTCGTGCCGTTTTGGAACATTCTTTTTCGACTGCAAAAAACACCGCGAAGATGCCGACTTGAAAAACAGGACTCCATCGGTATGGACCTGGGCAAATGGCTTTAAACCACAGCTCACAGAGCAGACATACGTTCCAAAGCTGGTCCTAAATCCGCCATTGGCTGGTTTGTTAAAGCGTGTTGCGCTCTGGGATGCAATGTTTATGCGCTGGCCAGGCCAGCCGTTGGTGCAAGAGCCTCCGATTTCTGCAAATTTCTTTGCCGACAACACCCAGCGCACTCCAACCTGGCAACTGCCACAGAGTACGATCAACGCTCTAAATGTTGCGCTCACTCTTCAATATCGCGAAGCTCGATTGATTCAGGAGCTCAAGGAGCGCATTGCGACTTTAGAGGAAAGTGTAAATGGCCGTCGAGGTTCGAGGCATTAGATGATATCAAGCGGTCGTGCGGCAGGTCCAGTGCTGCTCATACTTTACCAGAATGAGCTTCAGTCTTGTACTCCAGAGGTTTTTACCCCAAAAACATTGATTTTTCATGCACAAGATGGATCGAGGAGATACCACGGACCTTTTGCTGCTAACACAAGCTACTGTTTTTCGTTGCTATCGGTTTACTTCTTCCATGGGGCGTTCGTCAATCTTGGAATAATGTTACGTTGTAACTTAATGGTCGTCTTGTTCTGTTCAGCAGTACCTTATATTAATGTTGTACTTATAACCTCTACGTCGTGAAGCTCTCAATGCAAATTTTTTCCTTCACATATTGTCGGTAGCAAGAGACAACGTACCAAGTCAGTCATGAACAGATGCTACTGTTAGAAAAGGCACGGTTGAAGTTACAGTTGAGAAAATGGCTGACGACTTAGAAAGGCGTTTGAGGATCAGTTGAGTGATTGATTGGACAGGTGCGTGGATGGGTGATTGATTGGACAAGAGTGATGGAGAACAAGAACAACTAGTCCATCATGCTAGCACGAAAAAGATAACACTACATAACAATGTCAGAATCCTTTTATCACAGTGCCGCCGACTTCCTCTCTACAGCTTGCATCATGGCAAGCGAACAGGTTATGAGCCCAAGACGGGAAGCAAACGACGACACCAACGCGGCCCAGGCGCCGCCGGCAACCGGTCACGAGAGGACCGCGGCCGCGCCTGCTACGGTCGTCTCTCCCACCGCTCGCGCAAGGAGCCTGGAGCCTGACGCACTGGAGAGGGTCCTCAAGATGATCACGGGCATGGACTTGCGAATGCAGAAGATGGAAGCGTCCCAAGTACGCATGGACGAAGACAAACGCATGCGCGGCGCTCACGAGAGCGAGCTGTATCGATCAGAAATCGGGGCGTACTTCGCAGGGCGACTCCATGGCGGAGCAAGAGGACTTGCACGATCGGCAGTCTCAGCAGCAACTGCAGCGTGCACCAGCGCGGCTCGAAGAACTACGGATGCGAGAGAGAGAGCAGCTGCAGCAGCGTGCTGATCCGTTGCCTCAGCCGCCTACCCCATTGCCACCATACCAGCCGCCACCAGTGCCTCAGACGATGCCGGCAGCTCCAGGGCAGCCAGTACAGCAGCGGCAACAAGTGATGCCGATGCAGTATCGCACTCCGGATGCCAGGCAGCGCAAGCTGGCGATCCGCAAGTTCGATGGCACTGAGGTGTACGTTGGACTCGGGTCCGGCTTCTTCGACTGGGGCAAGACGTTTTGGCGCCATGCCGACATGGCACAGGAGTCTTGCGGTTTCCTGTGGAGCGAGAATGTGAAGACTGACGTGCTCGGGCAGTACCTCACTGGCACTGCCGAGCGGTATTTCAGCAAGCAGGTCGACACATGGTGGGCCGTGCTGCCTACATTGCAGTACGTGATGCAGCGCATGCTGGACACGTTCAAGACGACGATAACCGCCGCTCAAGCGATGAAACTCTTCACGGCGAAGAAAGAGAGCAAGAGATCCTGGCCAGAACACTACTTGTATCTGGTCGCTGTCAGCGACGCTGCGGGCGGCGCTGAGCAGCAGGTTCTGGACAACATCGTGCGCTACGCCTCGTCTGAGCTGTCGACAATACTCATGGCGAAGTACCAGACGCACCGCATCGACTACCTCGTGCACGCAGAAGAGCTCGCGCACTTCGCGCAAGCAATCGAGATGGAAGCTAGATCAGGAAGATCCTTCGGGAAGGAGGTCGTCGCGCATGTGGACGAGTCCGTGTCGCGCAAGGAAACACGCACTTGCCACGGGTGCGGGAAGGTCGGCCATCTGAAGAAGGACTGTCGCAGCAAGAAGAATGACGACAGGAAGAGGGGGCCAAGATACGGCGGCAGCATCACGCTAGCTGTTGGTGAAGGAAGAGGTCGCAACGGCTCGCGCGCCACCGGTCAAAGCCTGGCGATGGCGATTGGTGACGACAGCGATGACGAAGATGACGACTGGATACTCGATAGCGGTTCCAGCCGCCACCTTGTGAACGACGCATCCATGCTGCGCGACGCGAGGGACTGCGATCAAGAGTGCCACTTGGCAGATGGGGAGACCATCAAGTTAACGCAAGTCGGAAGCGTCGTGATGACTGTGCTCGCGAGAGGACAGCAGCAAGATGTGACGCTGACGGACGTGTATCTGGCGCCCGAGTTATCGCGCAACATCATGTCCTACGGTAAGCTCGAGATCAAGGGTTTCGGGCTCGTCTACGACGGCGAGTCGCGCGTGTTGGCACGACGCAGCAAAGGCCAAGTCGCGTTCGATGTGGCGATGGACCACAATGTGCTCTACGTCCAGACAGTCGCAGCGGCTCATGAGCGACGAGCGCCTAGCGACGCGCTCATGGCGATCCTGACGAGCCAGGCAGCTCCGGAAGAATTCGAGTCGGACACGCAAAGCGGCTCGCTGCTGCACTTCCACCAAAGGCTTGGGCATCTCGCGTACGACACCGTCGAGCGTATGGCGAGAGACCCCGCGTCCGGCATCGTGCTAACGGATCGCAAGCGCCCGACGTGCATCTCTTGCGCACAGGGAAAGCAAACAAGAAACGTGCAGTCGAAGAAGGTTACTGGATCAAACTCGCCGATCGACAGAGTTGGCGGGGTGATCTGCTCAGACCTCAAGGGTCCGATGACCCCGAAGGATCGATTGCACAATCGTTACTTTGTCAACTTTGTCGATCACAAGTCGAACTACTGTCGCGTCTTCCTGGCGCCTACAAGGGACAAGACGGTAAAGAAGTTTGAGCACTTCCTCGCGTTCTTTGAGCGCCAGTTCGACTGCCGGATCCACGTGCTACGCACTGATGGCGTCGGCGAATACGCGAATGTCGACCTCTTCTGCAAGAGAAGGGGCGTCGCGCGGCAGATCAGCGAGGCGAGGAAATAGGCGTCAAACGGCAAGGCCGAGCGCATGCACATGACGATCCTGAACATGGCGCGCAGCATGATCTTTGCCAGCCGACTGCCATTGACGTTTTGGGGCGATGCGGTTGAGTACGCGGCGTAAATCCTCAACCGCAGCCCAACGAGCGCGAATGCGAAGCGCGCGTCTCCGATCGAGGTACTGACGAAGCAAGTGCCGGATCTGCGCGACATCGTCGCCTTTGGCTCTATCTGCTCGGTCTACCGTGACCCAGGCAAGAACTCGCTCGCGCAGCGCGCACAAGTCGGCGTGATCATTGGGCGGAGTGACGAGACTAAGGGCTTTCGCGTCTTCCTTCAAAAGGAGAACAAGGTCACGATCACGCAGCATGTGCGCAACGTCGAGACGCTCAGCGCAGAGCAGAATGGTCAGCTGCAGCGCGCGCTCGAGTATGAAGATCGAGCCGTGGAGCCAGCGGCAACAGCAACAACAAGCAAAGAGTCGCCGGCTGCTGACGATGCCTCATCGCCGACGATACGCAGCGGCAAGAAGAAATCGAAGTCGTGGACACGCGCGGCGCAACCAAACGCGCACAGGCGGCCGCCGATCAGGAGGAGCCAGCTGGCGACGACAGCGTGGTGTATCATGTGTATGAGTGCGATCCCAAAAACTACGGTGAAGCGCTACGCAGCACTACTAAGTGTGAAGGCTGGGAAAAGGCCATGCGCGAAGAGCTCCAAGCCCTAGACGACAATGGCGTGTGGCGCTTGATTAAGCGACCTCCGGGCAGCAACACTCTGCACACGAAGTGGGTCTTCAAGACTAAGACCGACGCGCACGGTGAGATAGAGCGCTTGAAGGCTCTACTGATCGCCTGCGGCAACGAGCAAGTTTTTGGGGTCGACTACCAGCTTACATTCGCGGCTGTCATATAAATGTCGACCGTGAAGGTGATCTTGGCGCTTGCGGCGATATGGGGTGTCCCAGCAAAGCATGGCGACATCCCCAACGCGTATGTCAAGGCTGACAAGGAAGCGCACTTGGAGATACTACTCCAGGTGCCGCAGGCAATGACAATCGATCAAGACGCGCTCAAGATGGTAGGCGCAGCGACAAAGAAGGAAGTAGTGCTGCAGTTACAAAAGAGCCTGTACGGCCTCAAGCAGGCTGGCCGACTCTGGAGCCAGCTCCTGCACGCTCGGCTGCTCGAAGCCGGCTTCCGGCAATGTATTTCCGACATGTGTCTATACTACCAAGTCGAGGGTGGACAGTTGGTCATCGTGGGCGTCTACGTCGACGATCTACTTGCTACCGGCACGGACGCTGCAGCCGTCGACCGATTCTTCGTCAAGCTCGGCAGCTTGTCGATCAAGGACCTCGGTACCGTTAGCAAGTTCCTCGGCAGTGCGTGTCACGATTGATAACAGTGGCGGCTACGTGCTCGACCAGGCCGAGGCGATCGGCGAGCTCCTGCGTGAGCATGGGCTCGAGGATGCAAACCCGACGAAAGCACCAATTGGGGCTGACTGCTACGACGTGCTACCAGATGACAGCGCGCTGCTCACCAAGACTAAGGTGCAGAAGGCGCCAACAATCAAGAGGTTCCAGTCCCTCGTCGGTAGTCTTCTGTGGATAGCGCGTTGCACACGGCCGGACATTGCGTTCGCCGTGCACAAGGCGACGCGTCAGACTCATCAGCCGCGACTCCACGATATGAAGCTTGCCAAACGCATCGCGCGGTACCTGAAGGGGACGCGTGACTACAAGCTTCGGATGGAGCCAGCGAAGCACCTCGACGGCAAGATCCAGCTCGAGGCGTACTCGGACGCCGACTTTGCGGCGGAAAAGAGTGACAGGAAGTCCTTAACCGGCGGCATCATCCGCCTGAACGGCATGCCGGTCAGCTGGACGTCGAAGAAGCAAGGCGGCGTCTCGCTCTCGACGATGGAAGCGGAGTTCGTCGCTGCATCGGAGCAGGTGCGCGAGCTTCTTGGTATTAGGGAGATGCTAACCGAGATCGGTAAGCCGCCGGCGCTACCGATGGTACTCCACGTCGACAATCAGGCGGCACTAAAGCAGCTGGCATGCGAGGCGTCATTTCTCAAGGCCAAGCACATCGATATTCGCACGAAATTTGTGTGCGACTTCGCTCGACGCGGGATCATCGTGTCGCAGTACGTCCGCTCGGAGCAACAACTTGCGGATCTTTTGACGAAGGCGCTGGATGCAGTCAAGCTCGCGGCGCTGTGTGAGATGATCGCCCTCGGTAAGGACGGTAAGTCGTAGCCGAGGAGGAGTGTTAGAAAAAGGCACGGTTGAAATTACAGTTGAGGAAACGGCTGACGACTTAGAAAGGCGTTTGAGGATCAGTTGAGTGATTGATTGGACAGGTGCGTGGATGGGTGATTGATTGGACAAGAGTGATGGAGAACAAGAACAACTAGTCCATCATGCTAGCACGAAAAAGATAACACTACAAACAATGTCAGAATCCTTTTATCACAGTGCCGCCGACTTCCTCTCTACAGCTTGCATCATGGCAAGCGAACAGCTACTACTATATGAATCTGTCGCCGCTGCGCGTGTTTGTCTTTTTATTGTTCATTAAGAAATAATTAAAATATCGCAATAATATTATGGACATGTCGATATAATTATACTTATAATTTCTTGCTATAATATTATTTTGTGACAAGCAAAAAATGACATATTGACGTAAAAATTAGGGTTTGAATTCTTTTCATTATCTCAATATTTCATCATGATTTTTACGAAATGAAAACAGCTGCGTGGATGGAAGATTTCAAGAATGATACATGTCACGTCTCTTCTGATCATATGGCTACATTATAAGCAAAGGTCGGATCCATGAAATCTAGCCAATCAGCGCTTGACTGATGGATCAAAATGATTACCTTCGCGTACTGTCTGTCATCAAGAGCTCAGTGCATGATGCACGACATTCGTCTCTTCTGTCCTCGCTGGTTCTTACCAATACTACTACCTTTTTCCTCACTTCGTTCTGTATCTCATGCAGAGATGACGGAGATGACACCAAGTCTAGACTCGCCACCATTGCACAACGTTGTGTCCATCAAACAGACGATCATGTTGGCACTAGACACTTCGTTCCTGTTTAGCGGCATTATCTACGGTTCGCGTGTGCTGGTGCCCAAACCCATGACGTATTTGTCCGAGATTGCATTCCCTACTGACGTACGTTGTGGAATTGTAATGACTAATGGCCAATTGGAACCTACTGACGTCGTTGTTGGTTAATAGTTTTGCGGGAAATTGGCAGCGTCGTTCACGTTGTTCATGCTGAACGGTCTACGATGGCTTTATCAGGAGATTTTATACTCGTGGGTGCTATATCATCGATCATTTAGTCGAGATCAACAGAATGTTGTAGTCATGATGGAGACTCTGGTCTGGGTGAGTTGTAGTGGCAGGACGGTGAATGTTGTTTTTCTTATAGATTGAGATTTTAGTTGTCGTGTCTGATGTTGCAGGGCACGTCATCGAGTAGTTTGTGGATGGAATATCGACGTGGCTTGACTCCGTCGTTGTTTTTGCGGTTCTTTTGGGTTACGAAATGGATTGATGCTACCTACTTGCTTGTCATCGACGGGACATTTGCTGGGACGTCCTATATAGACGACGATGATGCTATGGCGTATATGATTAGCATAATGCGGAGCGGTTTTTGTTACGCTTCTTCTACTGTCCTTGTACTGTTCATGTTGGTAAGACCCACTAGTATCACTTCAGAGTATGTCACGTTCCCGACAGAAGTGAATACTCCATCAGCTTACCTCAACTCGACACACCATCGGCCACCTACTTCTTTCTATGGTTCCTTCCAAGACTGGGAGCTTGGAACGTGCGTAAGTGCTGCATAACTGGTTGTAGTTGTTACAGCTTTGGGTCAGAAGGTGATCGCTAACTTGTGATGCTGTAGCCATCATCTGTCAAGAGCGTTGAGGAGAAAGCAATGCTTGACATCACGATTCCAGCGATCACGTCTTCCGTTTGGCGGAACGTACGCTTTGTCTCGTTCAAGATTGTTGTACAGACGGATGATGATCACTGGACACTTCGACGGCCTTACAGTGATTTTGCTGCTCTAGATGAAGAGGTAAGCAGTTTTGTGCTGGCACGGTAGTGGATGGTACTAACGGTCATGGATTGTATTTTTTGCTTCCAGAGGAAGTTCGCGCCGACTGCACGCTACCGCTGGAGGAATATGACGACAGAAAGCTAATATCGTGGAAGGAACGTCCGCGGTCAATGAAGTCACGCCTTGAAATGTATTTGAAAAAGGTGTTGCATCACCCGAAACTTGCTCCTTGTGCGTCTCAAGCGCTATGCGAATTCCTCGATTTGGTAGGCCGATAAATTTTGTTGTTTCCTCGAAGTGCCACCACTACTTTGCTTTTGGTACTCACAATGGTGTTGTGCTCGATCCGCAGGAATATGTGGACGACGTTGTATCCGTGCGCTCATATCATTGCGATTCGATGCTATAACCAGATAAATGCACTGAAGTTGGGATAGTCAGAAGTATGACAGTCTACTTGACTGTCAGAAAGAATCGAGCTGAAACAGGTAAGGCATGGCGATCGTCACTCGGCGCAAAATCTCGTCTATAGACAGCATTATTAAATCATTCCCGTTGGTGTCTACGATCGACTGGGTATACCGTGGACGGGTACGCGATCTCACAGGAGTTCACCATTTTAGCAAAGCGAAGCGAGTTTAGCGTTTCGTCGCGGTGGTTGCCTAGCGGTGACAAATTGCAGATCATAAGTGTCTTGCTATCTCCGCCAAGCGAGGAACTCAAAAAGTATGTCAATTTCGAATCACGAAATGGAACATGTGTCGACTGCACAAGCATGAAAAGTAAATGTACAATTAGCATTTCAGCACCCACTCACACAAAGCGATCGATCATACCTTCTTTGCGAGGGCGCATATCACGTTGCCTAATGCCGAAAGACTCTTATTAATGGATGTGGCCTCTTTTAGAAGTTCCTTGTTGCTATCGCTACCCGACTTCGATAGGCGCTCGGATCCCTGCAATTTGTCATGGTGTAAGCACGGAACATGCTTGCAGCCAAGAAAGACAGTCAAAAGCACGGACGTACCGCCAGGTCGACAAGATTGATAACGCCTGTTCGTTGGTCTCCAGTCAGCGAATTCTTTCCGCTTAGCCTTAGGGATCGCAAACCAAAAATGTCGAGAGCTATTAGCACATTGTATACACCATAGTAAAACATTCTAGGAAGACATACCTAAATGTGATCACGCAATGGCTGCGTGAAGATCTGTTGTTCAATTTGGTAGATTTGGTCAATCTCTTGGACATTGCCCCTTGTAGGAGACTCCATGCCTCTTGGCTGCTCTGAACCTTACGAATACACGAATTCACCACAGCAATCTTGCCCTCGCTATCTAGGCGTAGATCTATTTTATCTGTAGACTGCAGTGTACAAAACGTAAATTGACGCGTTAATAGTCCGCAAACATACTTCGCACGCATATAGCCGCTTACTTCGGCAGGTGCAAGCAGGTCGCGCAGAGTTTCGTTGTAAATCTCAACCAATTCCAGACTTGTAACAAAACTCCATCCACTTGACCTTAAATCATCTATGCCCGCAAAGATATGAAGAATTGCTCGACCAACAATTCCCATGTCCGGTGATGACTCCATCAGCTTAGAATTGTAGTCCTTCTCCTTCCCCTGCATAGTATACGTTTTTCCAGATCTACAGGACCCAGCTTTATGGTCAGCTAAAAAATCAAGCGCTATCTCCACCTACAAGCACAGACGTACCCAGTTTGACCGTAGGCAAAGACGCACACGTTGTACCCATCCAAAGCAGACTGAATCAGCGCAGACACCTCCAAGAAAACGTCTTCTTGCGAACACTTGCTATCGAACACAAAATCGAAGTCAAAGTTGTACTTTTTGACAATGCTCCTCGATCCACTTTGGCCGTAGCCCACGTGGGACTTCGGATTTGCGCTAAGCTCGATCTGTCGTCGCTCAGTGCGGTAGTCGGGAAATGCAAATATCTGAAAAGATTGTATCAGTCATAACGTATTCCACCAAGATCCACAGCATGAGCCAGCAAGCAAGAATACTGTACCTCTTCACCTCTTGAGTTTGCGAGTTCGTGTCGCAGAACTGGCCGGACGCGACAGAATACACGGATATTTCCTTTCAGTTCCATCACCTGCGTTGCAACAATAGTCAAGCTAAGTAGCGCAAGCCTTTTGCCTTGCAAATTGTGTTTTATGTACCTTATTATGGAGGCTTCGTCGAACTGCTTCAGCATCAAATACTCTCTGCTCCAAAAAAGTAGCACGCTCCAGGACTCGTACTTTGGTAGCTTGGACTTCTTTTTCTCTTTGCTCAAGCCGTTCTTCGAGCTCCTTCACGCGCATCAAACAGCGTCGAAGCTTCTCCCTCGAGCCAGATAAATCCCTTTCCAGCGCGTTTATCCTTGTCTCTCTCTCACTTAGGTCACGCTGTTGCGGTCGTAGCTCGTTCAGCTCTGATTGTAGTTGTGCTATATGCGCCAGGGAATTGTCAACAACTTGCTTTTGAGCCTTCATCATCAATTGGTGTTTCTTCTCATTTTCCGATAGCTGGAAGAGAGAAGCCTTTACGGTTTTGTTATCCTTCCGCAGTCGCTCGCACTCGCAAAGTTTGGCCGACTTCTGGTCATCTTCTTGTACCGAAGCCAGCATTTCCTTCTTTTCCTGGATCCACTGAGCATGCAACGCTGTAGTCTGCTTCTCAGCTCGATCTAGCCCGTCGGAAAGCGCTGACCTCGCAGCTTCACACTTGTCGTAAAGTTGTTGCAGATCTTTCAGCTGCACTTTCAATCGAGATTCTCTCTCCAGAGCTTCCTGCTTGTCACGAAGCGCAGTCTCAAGCTTATCACGAAACACGTCAGTAGACTGCATTGATTCGCTTCCACTAGTCGACCCCAGACCCTGCGACATCTTGAGCTCATTAATCACTTCTACTGATTTATCTCGTTCGTTTTGTAGACTATTGATAAGCGAATCACGCTGACTCAACTGCATCACGAGCCCCGTGACTTCACGACAAAGAGCCTGTATCTGCTTTTCTTGCTGGTGATCTGTCGGTTCACTCAATTGCTGCTTTCATAACCAGCCAACCACGATGTTAAGTACCTCGTCCAGCACAAAAGCTACAAATGTGAAAGACAGCATTCTACACACACCTGATTCTCACTCAGTGTGTTGATAATTTGTGTCTGTGTCTGAACCGTTGACCTTAAATATTCGAGATCCGACTGTTTGTCTGCACGTTCACGCTCCAGTGACGCTGCATGTTTCAGTAATGCAACTGCATGCTCGTACGTGTCCGTATATCTCTGCAATCATCAACTTCCTGTATCAGCTTCATGTGTTACTTCAGTCACAATCATCTCTTCCTACCTTTTTGTATAAATACACTTTATCTCTGTCTGACTTGGAATAAAGTACTCGTTCTTCCTCGTCAGGGTCTCGACTCATGAGAAATTTCACTGAAGACGTTACAGGTGAGTACGTCTCCTCTTCCATAGCTTCAATTGAATCCTCCGTCCTATAACTCGTTCCCAGTGAGCTTCTTAACGTCGAACGATCTGCTACAACAGCGTTCGACTTCTTGAGACTGTGACATGGCGGTGAGAAGCTCAGTGGGTACGATTTGACCGTCCCAGCGCTCATATCACTGCTCATATCACTGCTTTCTGTTCTATTATCCAGTACATAATCATCAAACACGTTTTTGACTTGCTTGGACTGTCGGATGGAACTGCTGGACGCAGAGTCAGAAGAGCGCAAGGACTGACGCTTCCAGTCGCTTTTCTTGGACGTATCAGGCGTCATGAGACTTGCAAAGTGGCTCAATACGCGGCCACTGCCGGCCTCGTACTGGTTCGAGTCCATTGCGCGCTGCTTTCCCGTTGATGAAAGATTGGATGAAACTTGATATTTCAACCGGAATATTCTGACTTCAGTATCGTGATATTTGACGTTATGCAGTAAGATGGCTACAACAACAAGAGCAGGTTTATTTGTGTGTCAGTGGCTGGGTGTAAGCCCACTCTGTTGGGATAAGGAGCTGTTCAAAAGACTCTTTTACTGCTCCACTTCAGTTGAATCGGCGTTAATGTTCATGTCGAGATCCTCGCCTGTAATGCGCTTGTACAGGTCCAGCACATCTTCAGACGTTGTCTCAAAGTGGCTCGTCGGGTCATACGAGGCACTGATGAAGCAGTTGTCCTCCTTGCCATCCGTCACGGGCTCGAACATGTCCGTGATGGCGTCAAAGCGCTCCAGATACGGGCCCAGCAGCTTCACACCAGGCTCCAGCTCCTGCAACGGCACCGATGTCTCCGCGAGCGTACTCACAATGGCAATGTAGATCCCTTGCGGCGCAACGCAGTGAGCAGATGACACAACAGCGACATAGATGTCATTGTTGCGGTCAGCCTGAGCAGCGGGGATAATGATCTGCAGCGACTCGGCGTTGTTCGAGTTGGGCACGGGGTGGTTCAGAACGAAGATCGAGCGGACAGCCACGCCGGTCTTGCGCACCTTTTGAGCAGGAAAGTAGGACGGGTCACCAATCACCAGCTTGGCCTTGGCCACTTCATTGTCACACTTGATGCCCCACGCCTTGCCGTCTTTGTCCGTGAGGATCTCATCCACCGACCGGTTCAGCATGAACGTGCCACCGTTGATAGCACAGAGACGCGAGAAACTCTCGGGCAGCCCACCCAGACCGTATAGCGGATAGATATACGGAGACTTACCATAGCGTTCCAACGAGTAAGCGTAAAGTTTAATAGCACGCACCGTCTCGATAGCCGGACGCTTGTGATACGACTCGTCACGCATGAGAGCCATGGCGTGGCCCATGAAGCTCTGCGTGTTAGCATCGACTCCGTACTTTTCAAAGAGATCACTCATAGGCTGTTTAAACAGGTCCATGCCCTCGTATGTCTTGGGGTTGTCTTCCTCGTAGTTGTAGATGTACATAATGAGCTTACGGAACTTGCGCTTCTCAAACATCCCCATGAGCGATGAGCGCAAGGCTTCCTCTCCAGTAGCAGGGACTTTGTAGCTGCGTCCACCCTTTACCACATAACTGCCGTCCACATTCTTAAACTCCAAATACCGCGTTACTTTGGTATGTAGCAGCATCTTGACCAATTTGCCACATGCCATGATGAACTTGGGCACCAGATCCACATTGTAGTCACGGTCCGCACCCAAATCAGTGCGTGGTTCTTGGTCAGGCTTAAACTTCTTGTAAAGGTTCGTCAGATTCGGCGATGCGCACTCACCGCCGTAGTACGAATTGCGATCGACAACTAGCACCTTCTTGCCGTTTACAGCGAGCAGTCCACTCAGAATACACTCCTTTAGACCTGTTCCTAGCACAATCACATCGTACTCTCCATCAGCTAGCGCTGTGGTGTCCTGTGGCAACCACGCAAAGTCCAGTTTGTTCTCGTCTGTCATCGTCGTAAATGTACTTTTCCTCAAGGGGGGGGGGGCACGTTCCAAAATAAGGGATCCTTGGAATAAATTTGTTTGATCAGAGACTTGTTTTGTAATATATAAAGGGGAGCCGTTAGGTATTTCACACTTTCCGTTAATTAGCCCACATTCCCATTTTTATCCAAATTTGATTGGTCAGAATGGTTTTTCGGCCTTTTGGAAGTAGAAAAAGGTCGTCGATTAGGAGAACCACTTTACCCATTAAAGCCATAATGAACATCTCGACAGCTTGCATATGCATCTTTGGAACAAGCAAGAGCATCAGCATCAGTAGCAAGTAGATGTAGAAGCATTAGATTGAGTCGACCAAATGGAAACTTTATAATCACATTGTAGACAACTGCGGACATGATAACAGAAGCGTTATTACTTGGTAGTTAGATATAGCTAGTTTTCTTCAACATCGGCTTTCTTTATCAATCACCTTCGCTGCTTTGAGCCTCATTGTCATGCTTGAATATGCCCAATTAGCGACTGCGTCTATACACATTTGGTAAACATGCGTGAGCTGCGGTTGCCAGAATCATTGGCCAAACATTGTCACCTCAGTGTTCAAGCTAACAACATAAACACCTTGTCAAAACACCGGAACAGCTGATAACTTTAGGCCACAATGCTTCCGATTACACATACTCCAGACTTGCAGCGAGATATCTACGTGGTATTCAGCCGCTACCTTGTACATCTGTTGCAGCAGATCCACATAGCGCGTAACATTGTCACTGAGAAAGCCCAGCTGGTCCTATTGAAAGTCCGCCATGCTGTCCGTGAGCTGGTCGAGCGTCCTACCAGCATCTCCAGCAACTAAAGCGACAGTTACTTCACCAAGTCGACTCAGAGCAGTGATGTACCTGGTTCAAAGGCGACAACCGCTTTGTATCAGGTATAAGTTGCGGCTTGGCGACTCAACTGCTTTTATTAGAGCGCCTGTCTGCAGTGGATGGCGTCTTGGATCGAAAGAAAGACCCGCTGGGCATCAAAGAAGCCACGCATGGACTAGCCTCACTTGAGCTCGGCGTTCCTGAGGTTTGAACGAGACGAACGAGGACGCTGATAGCGTAGGCTGTGATATCGAGCTGGACGTACAGGCTCAGAGCGACCGGAACTAATACATTTTTGGACGTTATAGTTATTTTTTGTTTTGAGATGGTCCCATCAGACATTCTGACCAATCAGATCTGAACAAATTTAGGTCTGGAGGCTAATTAACGAAAAAGTGAGGAATCCCTAACGATCCGACAATTATCGATATCCGGGTTCCAATCCGGATCCTATATCAATAACTTACATTGTGTACATTACACAATATGTTTAAACGCTTATACGCAGTTTTAACACATTAACGAATGTAAATACGTCATTATTTCGTCATTTGCAATGTACTGCGGTGACGATGTAGAGGCCGTTGTGGGCGACGTAGGCACGTCCCTGAGCAAGTTTGGACTGGCCGGAGAGGATACACCGAAGCTAGTATTACCCAGTATTGTAGGCCTACGACCGCCGTCTACTAAGAACTCGAAAGACGACGTGTCTGCAGCCTCTGCTGTGCTTGGGGATCTATGGCATCGAAAGGATCTGGAGGTTGCGCGACCTATTGAGGCCTGTGCTGTGTCCAATTGGGACGCGCTGGAGAATATCTGGAGCTATGCTTTTGAGCGGCTACATGTGGATGCCAAGAGCCATCCAGTTATCACTTCAGCGGCCTCGTGCTTTGCTAATGACGCGCTCCATAATGCGGCGTCCCGGGACGGTGAAAAGTACTTGGAGATGATGTTTGAGTGTTTCCAAGTGCCGGCATTTTACATGGCAAAGGACGCAGTGCTGGATTCTTTTGCTTTTGGACGGTCGGTGGCATTAATAGCAGAGATTGGGGCAGGAGCTTCTCGTGTTGTACCAGTGTACGATGGATACGCGTTGGAACGACCAGCGCAGTACTCGTCCGTGGGATGCAATCAATTGTCCGAGTACTTAGAGCACTTGGTAGTCACATCGAAGCCCGAGACAATGACGGTGAGACCAAGAGGAACTTTTTCAAGAAAACTAAATCAGCAGACGGGAATGTTAGAGACGATCCCATTGTCGGAGGAATTCACGACGCCACCAGCGATGCCAGCGAGCTACCTCAAGTTTCTGAAAGCAGATCTGTTTCGAGATATGCGAGAGGCGACATGCATCATGTCAGAGATACCGCTCGAAGAACATCAAGATTCTCCTATGCATGGACAAAAAGCTTTGTCACCGGAACCACTGCCGTTGGAGATTACAGAGCAGCAGTACGAGCTGCCCGATGGACAGACCGTTGTGCTAGGGAAAGAGCGGTATGCCGTGCCAGAGTTTTTGCTGCATCCAAAAAACTTTGGAGGCGCTGTGGTCAAGAATGAGCAGCATGCTGCGGCAGCGGCGAAGGTGATGGCAAAGGGTCTGCACCGCATGCTCTATGATGCAGTGCACCTCTGCGACGCCGACTTGCGGAGGGATATGCTGACTAACATTATCTTATGCGGTGGAGGAAGTCTCACGCCTGGGATCACAGAGCGACTGCACGCAGAGCTCACGCGAATGATGCCTAGTACATTCAAGGTGCGCTTCACGACTATTTCAAAAATCGAGCGACAATTTAGCGTTTTCATCGGCGGGTCCATATTAGCATCATTGGGCTCCTTTCAGCAGCTGTGGGTATCGAAGCGCGAGTTTGACGAAGTTGGGGCCCACGCGCTGTGTGCGGACCGCTTCAACTAGATCGTCAGCACAGCTGTAGCTAAGCGCGCACGCAATGGACATGGGTTCCATTCCACCTGTCCACATCATGTCAGTTTCTTGGGGATGTCAGCTCATTAATCAGCTATTCTCATGTTTGTAGAGTGAAATCGACGGAGACAACTTCAGTGAAAGGTACCTTTCAGCTGATAGACCGCTATTTCAAGGGCACTTTGAACCTAAAAGTGGCAGCTCTAATTCTATACGAAAGCCGTCGAGCACGACACCAAAGCGCCCTCCTCAACTTGTCATCTTCCAGCCTTCAATCCACTTGGCCCATTTGGCAGATCATCGCTCGCTCAGGGTTCCAAAAGCCACGAAGCGGGACAAGCCTAGCACTCGTAGACATGCTTTACAGAAGGAGTTTGTCTGTTAGTTCACCATCGTCAGCGAGGAACAGCCCCGAGTCTATTGAGCGCAGCTCGTGCGCCGGAAGGTCCGTACGCGAGTCGCCGATCAGTCTTCTTCGAAGTATTGCGCATCTATCTCCAGCTGAAACTGTGGCAACGTACTGACCGATCGTTGCATTCATGCAATCCATGCATCTCACGGTAGCGTCGTCGATTCGGCTATGCTAGCTAGCTGTCTTACATACCCTCTATCAATGAACAAAACGCTGGATCAGAATCTTGGTTTCCTGCGCAATATTGGTGCCGAGACAACGAGCAGATTCAGTAAGAAGTATGATATTATGAAAAGAGAGATGATTTCAGCGCTGACGTTCTCGCTCTTAAGACTCATCGCCGCTATTGACCTCCTCTTCTTCGCCATTGTCCTCTTCCAGCTCACCATCTACGCAGGGCAAAGCGATAATCGCAATGCCGTTCTGGACCTTCAATTTTTCCCATCGTCCTAGGCGGTGCTCCTGGCCTACACCTGCAAGCAAAAATCGAGCCTTCAGATCGAAGCACAGTGCATTCACAAAGCCCTCCATCGGAATCGAGGCCACAGGGATCAACGTCCGTCCCTGTAAGTCAGCCTGCCACAACCGAATCTGACCGTCATTAGATCCAGACGCAACGAGATCTGTCCGCGGCATGACAGCTACACTGCTAATCCATTTGCCATTGTGAGCATTCGAGATGACACAGACAGGTTTTTTACGACCGTTAAACCAAAGCGATAGAGAACCGTCATCGCCACCTGTCACGTAGTACTCGTCCGTGATCATTTTGACGCAGTCCATGGAGCCCGAGTTACCATAAAAAACCAACTGCGTCTCTTCCGGAATCTTCCACACACGCACACTGCGATCTCGACCGCAGCTTACCACACGCTCTTTATACAGACTGTCCAGTGCGTTTACCTCACTCTGGTGTCCAAAGAGCGTCTCGATGTATCCCATCTCCGTCAGGTTCCAGTGCTTAATAGAGCGGTCAAATGAACCCGAGAACAGCGAGTGTGACCGCAGACGGAACGCCAGCGACGAAACAGCGTCGCGATGTCCCGAGAAGCTCTCCAAGAGCTCGTTCTTTTCCACATCCCATACACGCACAAGTTTGTCGCGACCACCACTGGCCAAGAACTTTCCGTCCGAGCTAGCAGCCAGTGCCAAGACGCATCGGTCTTTATCCGTTTTTGCCTTCTCAGCTCCAACATCGTTCTTCGGTAAAGTAAGTTTCGTCTTCTTCTGCTGTGCCAAGTCCCACCGTAGCATTGAGCCGTCCTTGGCCGCTGAGAAGGCCGTCTTGCCGTCCTCCAATAGACACAGACTTGTCACAGGCAGACGATGGCCCTTAAGAAACTTGGTAGAGTTTGTTATATCAAACTCAAATGCCACGTAGTCAGCCGCCACCTTTTTAAACAGCTTTCCCATGGCTTCCAGTGCATCCTGCTGCAGCCTCGCGCCCACGAGCTCCGCAACTCCATCGTCGTCATTGTCAGCAGTCTCATCGTCCATCCCACCACTCTCCTGTGTCGTAATCTTGTCCAAATAGACCTTGGCCAGTCGCAAACGTTTTTCCTGTGGTGTCTCTTTCTGTTCGTCCTCTTTGTCGCTCTCCTCGCCACTCGTAGCGCTCATTTGCTCACTGGCCTCGCTGTCCGACGCGATCACATCGTTCGAGTCGTCTTTTTTATCACCTGACCAGTCGAATGCATCATCCTTAAGAGCACGCTTCTTACGCTGAGGTTGTACGACTGTACCACGTTTTATAGCAACGCGGCGCTTCATCAAGAGAAAGAGAGAGAGAGAGACGCGCTTCTGGTCACTAATGACAAGTAAAATTGGTTGGCACGGATGAATCACTAGTCACTGCATCTTACCCCTCATTATAATGACATCCTAACCTGGTTACACAAACAATATAATATTGCCATTATTTTATAATTAACCAATAATTGCAATTATTCCTTAAAACCGATGAATAATGGCGAGGTTCGCGTCGCTGGGGAGGTCAATCGTATGATTCAAAGCGAAGTAAGTGCGTTATACTCACGTCTAGAACCTCTTCGTATACAGATTCGCTTTCCTTCGTTTGCACCTGTGAATCTCCCTATGGTCTTAGTATTAGGGAATCACTCGTCAGGGAAGAGCACATTTATCAATCACATGCTAAAGCAGAGCGTACAAAAGACTGGACGGGCACCGACTGATTGTACCTTTACGGTACTTGCTGGTGGAGTAAGAGAGGAGAGATTGGATGGGGCAGCACTTATGCGTCATGCACAATACGGATTTGGAGACGTGGAGCGACTCTTTGGTCGAGAATTCGTGTCTCAAGTGGAGCTTAAAGTAGTGGCTGGCAGTCAGTTACTGGATGAAGGAGGACTTATGATTGTGGACTCACCTGGGATGATCGATCCACCTGGAACATCACTGGATCGCACGGACGAGGACCGTGGCTATGACTTTAAACGAGTGGTTCAGTGGTTTGCGGACCGAGCAGACGTGATCCTCGTCATGTTCGACCCGGATAAACCTGGTACGACATTTGAGACACTGGATGTGCTGACCAAGTCATTACAGGGAATGAGTAGCAAGGTGCTGCTTATTTTGAACAAGGTGGACGACTTTCAGACGGTCCACGATTTTGCCAGAGCTTATGGAGCTCTGTGCTGGAACTTGAGTAAGGTTATTGGACGCAAGGACTTGCCATTCATTTACACAATGTACGTGCCACAGGATAAACGGAAAGCAGCGTCTGACGCTCAGAAGAATAGCGAGATGATGTTTAACGTGCCCAAGATGCTGGAGCATGAGTTTGATGGAATACGCGGCGAAGTGATTCGCGAAGTGGAACGAGCACCAGACCGTGCCACGGACAATGTTTTGAATTTGCTGAGGGCGACGGCGTTGAGGCTGAAGATGCATTTGACGCTGATTGAAGCCTGCAAGAAGGAGTATCTTGACCTGCGCACGTTCTGGAAGCGCGCACAGATTGCAGGTGTCGTGGCAGGAGTAGGTTTCACAACGTTCTATTTGATCCGCACGGTGGGCTCGTCGGCCCCCTTAGAAGCGTTGTCAGTGGATGATTTGGCACCGACCGTGTCGCCAGCAGCTTCGTCGACGGCTGCAACCTCTGTAAAGACCTCCTCCCAGACGTGGGAAAGTAATTGGTCCAAGCAAGTAGCGCGCTCGCATTCACTGTTTAAGTTTAGCACGTTTTTCAAGATTGTGCTGACATCGTGCATGTCAAACCTTGCGCTTTGGAAGGCGTCAGTACTGAACCTGGAGTTTAAAGGTAAAAGTGTTCTGCAATGGCTTCCGCTTACGTTCCAGCGTGTTTACGGTCCCTTCCTGTGCAAGTCTGATCGAGCACGCGACGAAATCATGACGCAGTGGAATGCCGTGCGACCAGGTGTTGAGCTGGCTCTGTCGTCTACGGAGCTTGAGGCGTTTCCTACGATCGAGACGATGCACAAAACGTTTTTGGACGATGTCTTGAATCTGCATGTCCCGCGGCTGAATCGCTGTGTGCGCGACCGCACGGGAGATGATCATGCCTATCTTCGTTTCAAACATCACAACATGTCGGCGTCAAGCAAAGCTGACGCAAGCACAGCATTGTCAACGGAGTCAAAGTAAAAGCAGCGGTATACAGAGCTCACAAACATGAATTAGGTGGAGACGTTTGTTTTTAGTATTGATTAACATCTAGCATGGATCGCAAGCTTCGCTAAAAATCGTGGAGCTCAGCGACGCTGCCAAGCATCAGTGAGTGCTGCATTGCGACCTGCCGAAGCAGACACCTGCAAGCTTTGACAAGCTGGTGCAATGCTTGCAGCATTGGAATTGCTTATCACTTTTCGACATGAGTAGCGTCCCAACCGGCAGGTAAAGTAGTGGCCAAGTCACCACCTTCCGATCCACATCGTCTTCGCTGGAACCAGCAATTTGCAGAGATGAGAGAAAGCTTTAGTTGAGTTTACACCGCCGCGATCATCTCCGGTGCTTGACACGCCTCACAACCTTTTGCTCACCAAAAGCTCGTCCTACATGCACTTTGTTGTCGCTGTCGCCGCTAATGATGGAGCTCACGTCACGTCGCCCACAGCGTTGCCTGAAAACAAAGACATGACGGGATCGGGCAGATCGTGATCTCATAGCCTCACTCCAGTCAGCAAACGCAATACCCGCTTGTGGAAAGATTATGTCGTAGAACGATACTGAACAGGAGTTCAACCTCTGTGCAAAATCACCCATGCCAGTTTACTTGCTAAATAGGATCCATGCGCTTATTCCTCTTGATAATAGCAACGTCTAAAGGACGGTACGTCTTGCTGAGCACGTCATACACGATTACTGTGCTGTCATAGCACCTAACAGCTAGTAATGCTGTGATAGTCCAGGTACATGACCCAAGCTGGATATTTGTTCCCTTTGGTGCTGCTTGTAGGCATCCATGAATGTCCCGTTGTCTATCAATATGGCCGTAGCTTACTATCGGTAACAACTCCATCTCAGATGCACACTTCCGCAAGGGTTGATGTACGTCTGCACCACACGTCACTGTAGTTGAACTGATTTTGCCGACTCAAATTGTATTGCAGCCTCATCAATCTTCTCCACTTTCACCTCTGCTTTCTCTTTTGCCTGCTTATAAATAGTTCGCGTACTCTGTTACTCCTTCTCGGCGTACTTTGGTCAAAAACAGCTTGGTCTTGGCATCCACCAACTGCTATAGCACAAGTGTACGTAAAGGTCATCTCACGACCTCACTCAGCTTCTGCAGTAAAGCCTTAGCTTGCTGTCAGGAACAACGAGTTCCTTCACTTTTCTGCATGACCATCATAGGGTGAATGCTAGATACGCCGAAAAGTCACCGGCAGGGACACACCGCAGGTGTAGCAATAAACACCAACGCACTGATTCAAAATACGCATCATCTCGTCGTAGTCATGTCCTGCGGCAAAAGGGACTCTCCTCTTGCCCCTTAGTCCCAATATCCACCGCATTTGCACCGTCACCAGCAGCTGCGCCATGTGATCCTTGTCATGGCCTGTGTTGCTGCCTTTGAGTGACGCTACAACTTCTTCTTCACAGGAGACAAGCTAGCGGCTTTCGGCCCCCTACCGATAGCTGGTAAAAGGGTTATATGCCTATCGCCTGTCATGCGGCAAAAGATCGTGTAAAGGTGCCGCATTGCATGAGAACGCACAGGATTGAGTGAACTAAAGTCGCGTCTTTAGTGAGGGCAGTTCAAGACGGTGGACCGACCCATCTGTGCCGCTTGTAAAAAACGCGTCTCTCGTTGCAATAGCATCTGTCACGCCCCACGAGGAGTTCGTCTGCGATTGCAAGCACACGAGGCATTCAGCATAATAAAAATGAGCGCCACCAATACATTCTCCGTTATGCTAAGGCGTGCACGTACCACATTAATCGCCACATTCGACGCGGCTTCGCCCAGTAAATTTGTTGCAGCGTCTCCCAAGAATGAAGGCTTGGCATGCACCTTGCTTAGAAAAGCGATTTCCCGGAAAACAGGTAGAGACCAGATTTTGACGTCACCACTTGCAGATCCAGAGAGCATACAGTCGCCGCTAGGGTGCAACACAAGTGTCTTGATCGGAGTCTCGTGCGCATTCGAAATTGTGTGCAAGACGCGCCGCTGCCTCATATCGAAAATGCTCAACGCACCACCTGCACCACCCGTAATGAGCAATTGGTGAATTGACGAAAACGCTAGCGAGGTGGCGCCAGCTGGCTGGCATGTCGGTGCCGCAACGAGAGCTTTTGAAGTCGGCAGAAGCGTATCCCACACGCATACGTTTTTCTTGCTGCATACAAACATACCACAATTAGCTCGGATCGATACCGCATAAGTAGTCAAACGAAAATTACTCGGACGATAGCCCAGCCGTGACGATAGTGCTACTTGAGTTGAGGAATGCAAGTCCCTTAGCGCCCTTGTCATGGCACTGTGCACAGCCAATGCAATCTCGTTAGCAATATGACAGTAATATTGAAAGAAACAGGATGTATCTCGAGACTTACAACCATCTCGCGGTAATATGGAGCTCGATCGAGCTCGGAAAGTTTCCATAGGAATAAATGTCCCCCGGCATCCACAGCACCAAGCTGTAATCAATCAAAGCAGAATCGCACCGAGTCAACAACGAGGCTCTTCCGACAGTAGCTTTTAGCTTAGCTGTTCAATACATACCTGCTGACCAAGACTGTCGATCTCAAGTGCCTCGATGCTTCTCCAACCAGACGACAGCGACGGGCTTGTTGGATATGGCTGCATGTGAGTCAAGCATAACAAAGACAGATTAAAAACATATCAGAAAGATAATTCGAGCATGTACACTGCCTACCGCGACTACGTCCTTGGTTTGGAAGGCGCAAAGTGCACTGAGTCGGTCATACGACCATAGGTGCACACGCCCCTTGTGATTTCCAGAGACGAAAAGCGGCAAAAAGGGATGAGCAGCCACGGCTGTTGGTTTAAAGCTTGCCAGCTTTAGCTCGGACGGGGACGCAAGCAGATGAACTGCATTTCGTAAGGTTGAAGGAGAGCCATTCCCGCGAGTAGTCAACGACGGAGACAACAGTCGATGGCGGCTGTTTCCAATGCTGCTCCTATGCCCAGCGCTTGGAGAATCCTTGCCTTTTACAGGCGAAGATAGGGTCGAGTCGGGTGGAAAAAATGCGGAGTTTTGTGGCCCAGCGTACATCCCCTTGAACTGGAAACGGTAGCCATCGGTATATTCCATACAACTAGCGCGGAAAATGCCTTTGCTAGTGCAGATACTCATTTCAGCGTCGTCACTGGCGGCATGATTAAAGCACATCGCTTTGATGGTGGTGTCGCTACGGTACACACACTGAACATGCACAGCAGCAGTAGTGGGTGTTGAAGCCATACGTCGCTTGAGTTGGTCGGTAAGGTTTGTGGCGCGCGGCAACGTAAGCGAAGTTCCTGCCGTGTTCGACAAAAGTAACTTTTGGGAGCGCGTTAATGCAGATTTGCGTGAAGCAGGTTCAGGCAGACGACCCCAATAGATTTCCTCATCGATCTTCTTACTGCAGCATTCCATTTGTTTATCTAGGCGTAGGAGAAGCTCATCCTTGTCAGCAAAAAGTTCCACGTGCAGAAGCCATGGGCAGTGTTCGCATTCGCATTTCAGCAATTGACGTCTACCATGATCGACATTTGGCGACGATGGAGGAGATCCAGCAGTATCCGAAAAAGATGCACGAAAACTGCCAGAGGCACTACTTCGCGCTGGTGAAGACGATCCTCGTGGTGACCCTGTGGATGTTACGCCTGGAGTTGTGGCGGGATGCGAAATCGACAACGGGCTGGAAAAGAATCCAGCTAAATCACAAAGCAGATGCTTTAAAGCAAAACTAGCAAGACGGTTGCTATAATCCACCCAAGCTTCAACAAGTTGGTTTGACAAATCTGAGGTGGAAGCTACACCTCCTTCAGCAATCTGCGAAAGGTGAGCAGGCATGGCACCAGCCGCCATCATTAGAACCAGTTCCCAATACGAACAGTGTGAGAAAACTGGGGATGATAAATCACGTGAAGGCATCGGATGATGTAACCTGCTCGTCTTCACTGCTGCCGTAAACTCATCCAGCTCCAGTTGCAATAGTTGCACTGCCTGGTACATCACTGGAATGTCTTGTTGAATCGACAATATGCCTCCTATTTGCGATGGAGCTGTCGTAGAACGGCGAATTGGGGCGCAGCTTACACAGACATAACCTTCAGCGATATCATTGAGCGCTGCTTCCGACTTTGACGACAATCCATCTTTGTGTGGAAAGATGAGACCAAGCACACGATATAGACAGCATGGGTTCTTCAGATAGCGACAGCATATGGAAATGGCACTATGAATTGCTGCCACTGCTACGCGTACAAACTCATGGTTTGGTAACGTCGCTCTCTGCATCGAAGGTGTCATATAAAAATACTGCAACCAAAGTAGGAGCCGCGTCGCTGTGGCTAACAGATCAGAGCAAGTTTGGTCTACTTTTCGGGTGTGCAAATAATCAGTGGCAGCAGACATGAGATCCCCCGACGCTATGGTTGCAACTCCTTCTGCAATGCTTTCAACGAATCTTGCAAGCGGGCTGGTAAAAGCAAATGTTGGTGATGAGCCTTCTGAGTGGTTCCATCTGGACAGCAAAAAGTCAAATGCATCAAGACGACCGGAGTGCATTAATGAGTCTAGTACCGCAGCTTGGACCCTCTGCTGCAAATGGTTCTTGCTCGTTTCAGGTACTTCAGGTAGATCATAATCGCCTCCGTGGCATACGACACATTGAATCCCTTCGTTTAGTTTCCCTTCAAGGTCAAACCGTGTGTCGGGCGCTGGCGTAGCAGGTATTGTCATTGCCTTACGCATTGGCTGCAAAAAGGTGGCGTACAAATAGTCTGCCTGACTCCCGACAGCCGCAAATAGAACGCGCTGACGGCAACCTAGGAATGCTGCTGCATCTGAGCTCGCAGGACACTCCCGCCGAAATTCCTGGACAAAAGAAGCAATGTCGCGCTGGTGAAGAAGCGCAGCAATTCCAAGCCCTGTATCTTGCATACGTTGCAGCGCTGTTGTGTTCAGCCTCAAAACCTTTGCTTTCAATGCCAGCTTCATCGGCAAAAGTGTCTTTCGAAGAAAGCGGACTATATCGCACGCACCAAGAAGGCTTTTCCCAAATGCCGACCAGTATGTACTGGACGGATCCATACCTGAGCTTTCCGAATCACAAAACATGCTTCTCATGTCGACAGCTGGTGGTGTAATCAGGATGTCAATTGCATTGCTAGTCTCTCCCAGCAAGTACTTCACTAGGAAACACATGTACACATCACCACGTCGACAAGCCTTTTCATACACAGTGGTGCGGAGAAAGTCGACACACATGTTTTTCGGTTCTGACGGTTCGTCACCCACTGACATGACCGGGGTTGTTCCAGAGTGACCAGCAAGTTCGCGATAACTAGTGGTCAGGCCCGTCAATGAAGCTTGTGGAAAATCAGCAATGCCGGGGCTACCTGTCCCGTCAGCTTGTACGAGGTCCCATTTCTCCGAAATTCGAGCAATGAGAAATGATAGCACAAGCGTCACATCCGCTTGCTCAGCCACTGACACGGCTTCAACGACCTTGCCGCCGAGGAGAAAAAATGCTGCTGAAAGCTCATATCGCTGCTTTGTCTTTAGTACATAAGCGTTCTTCATTGCTGCGTTCTTCCAACGCATGTCTGAAAAGTTGTTGCCCAAAAGATCCGAAATGCGCGACTCGTGAGCCATTTTGAACAGGCTTGCCAGTAGCTTTGTCTTTCCCAACAGCACGTAGAAGATAGCGACCGCAAAGGGATCACGGTTCGCTGCATACTCGACTTGTGCGACCTTCTCCGCGAAGTGGATTAGCTTTGTTGAACTTCTTAGCCAGAATGGTAGCCGTATGCGTTTCATCTCTTTCCAGCTCATTGTCGCCGCAGGAAAGCATTCCTGAAGTAACTCTGGCTGATAGTCACTAAGTGCTCCCCAGGCTACCTGTTCCGAGCACAGTCCCTCCGTGCCGAGGCAGCTCGACATAGGTGCCGTAGCTCCGCTGACTGTTTGTTGCTCTGGCGCATCTGCAATTGGCTGAATGCTGGCCGGTCCTTCTGATGGCCAGAGTAAAGAAGCATGGAAACGAAGAGCAGCTTCATCTTTCTGGCGGCTGCTATCACGTTCCCAGCTTACAGTTTTCTTGATACCAGCGATGATCCTATAGAAAATATCCGATTCTTGGGCCGTCATGAATGTCAACGAACCTTTGTGTTCGTTGAAATACTTCAAAAATATGTCGGTTTCAAGCTTCGACTTTAACCTTGTTGTCGGTTTGTTCTCTAATGCATCGTGTGCAGAAGAAGATGGAGGTGCAAACAGCATATCTGCACGATCACTGCTAGCTCCACTAGTTTCATACCGACGGGGCGCTCCAAAGTCCATTGCAAATAGATCGCTGGCTCTAGCCGGGGCCGCCAAGGCTGCGTACTGACTGATACCTCCAGTCTTCTTACTTTCTTTCCCTCTTCGATAGATAGCCGGTCGCTCATCGCGGTTGTCTTCAGTAGATGTAGGGTCTCCAAGTAGCTGAGACAATGATAATAATGGAAGAGTTCGTAGCAGGGCGTTGTCCGTCATTTGCAGATAGCACGTTTCTTCGTGCTCCTGGATTTTTGTCTTCACATGCTCGAGGACATTTTGTAAAGTCTTGATCGACCCACGCGCTAGCAAGTACATCAGTATTACAGGATGATGTGCAGGCAAGACCTTTGACGGCGAATGAGAACCGAGCGCTTGCTCACGTGGACAAATGTCTGGCGGCAGTTGGAGCGGTGGCGCTCCAACTCTATCAATGTCTCGGAGATTTAGGTGCGCCAAACTAAAGCCGACACGGAGAAGGCCGTAAGGATAACTCGAGAGCAAAGCGATGTTCTCGGGTCTCACACTGAAACGACTGAAAGACCAGGCAATGCTCCATTTTTCAGTTTGCCGCGAGTAGTCAAACTTCATCATGGCGATTGTCGTAGTTGATAATAGAAGGAGTTCACAGTCTGATGTTACAGGCGGAGTCCACTTCAAAGAAACCACTTGACCAAACTGTTTGTGTGGAATCTTAATAGCTCCTTCCAATAAATTTGCTGTCGTTGGCAAGAAGCATATTTGGTCGTCATCTTCGCTATCACCCCCTCCAAATAATAGAGCTACGCGTCCGCAATAGCTGAAGCTGAAGTGCTTATATACAAGTCGTTGTTCTGTAGTGTGAAACTCCTTATGTGACTTCTGTGCCCGACCAGCCATTCTTATCAACTCGCCAACATCAACTCGATGAGCAGGCTTTACTTTGAGCAACACATCGAGGTCCGCAAATGTCCATAGCGTAAGCATCGAATCTGCGTCAAAACTGGCAAGAGTGATCTCAAAAGTATTCATATGCGGGACAGTGGCGATATCCAACAACCTTGCTTCAGGGAGGTCGATCGTCGTTTTACGAAACAACTGGACAGAAGAAGCAAGCGATTCCGAGACTGTAATCTCTAATGAGAAAACCCAAACAGTTAACTTCTTCCCACCTTTGTGCAAGCCAACGACCATGCTGTAATCCTTTGCGGGATTGCTCATCGCTGGTTGCGCGAAGAATGTGCTGCTATTGGACCATGTAATCTTGACAGATTCGGGAATCACTACAGAGATCAACCCATCGAGCACTTCAAAGTCTTCGCTTCCATCCATATAACATACTGACAGTGCCAGTGCATCACGCCCTCCAATGAGAAGCGTAGAATCTTTTTGAGCTCCCGACGGTTCCACGGATGAGTCTTCAATGCCTTTTCCTACGTGGAGTGTACCCCCAGACGCCATAATGCCAGCGTACAACTTCCCGCCAGTAACAAAATAAAGCATGGATCGCTTCTCGTATGATGCTGTGTGTCTGATAGGGCCAACAGTGCTTTCAGTTTTCGACTGAAAGGCAATTCTAAGCTTGCGCAACGATCCACTTGCTTGGAAAACGTTTAAGCGTCCACCCATATTTATAATAGCAGACTTCCCAGCAGACCCACTTGAGTCAGCATGCGAACCTGATTGGCACCTTGGTATCATATTTGCTACCAAAAATGACGCATCCTGGACGTCTCCTTCCTTCATGGAACTCATCATACTGCTGCATATGACTGAGATTTCGCAACTTTGAACGGTATAGAGCCTAGACCCCCGGCAAGTTCCTACCGAGCCGTTTTCGGCTTGAAGCTTTAACCTTGCACAGTGCAAGTAACTATCAGCCGATTTTTGCTGAAACAACAGTTCCATGTAAACAACTGTCGAGCCGCTTCCTTGGTCTGTCATACATACGCATCATCAGCTACAACAGACAAACTTAACTATAAAGCTACAGAACCTTCTTGATGCTTACCTTGATAATCAGACGAGCAGACACTATAGATGTGTGCATCAATGAGTTTCTCCTGAAGGCCTGTATAACTAAGAAGAAGAGAGAGTCTGGGAGAAACGCCCTACTCTTATTCAGAAACAATATGCACAGTTGCGAGTCAGTATCTTATTTCAGCTCGAGAAAGAACTTACACGCACCGTAAACGGAATTGACGTTCCGCGAAAGATACAGAAATCACCATTGCTGAGCACACCATAAATTAAATGCACAGCAAAAGTTTGCTCAAGTGCTACATTGCCGCAGATGCACGCTTCTCCGACGTAAGTGTCTGCTACGGCACCACTTCGATCCCCAAGAAGCTTCGTGTTCATTTGCGAAATGCTGTTTATTCGCTGACTAACAGACTCGTTCTGATACATTTCATTCAGCGATCCGTAGCCATAATGAAATAGACAGAGTGCATCCATCACAGTATTTTCGCTCAGCAAAGCCTCATTTATCGACGACACTGATTTTGGTGCCTCTCGAGCCCAACAAAGATTAACCAGACCAAACACTCGGATGTGGGTTTGTAAACTTTCATTATCCTCCTCATTGAAAGGAGAGCTGCAAAAGTCCGCGGCAGCAAATTGTTTCCACAATACAAACGACCGCAGTGGACTATGATTCTCTCTCCAGATCGAGATATTTCCAGCTCGATCAAGGGTAAAGAGCATCTCACAAGCCCCTGTAGTCGTAGCCATTGTCGATCCCTTGTCATAAACATGTACGTCCTTTGACCACGTTATACACACAAGCGCACGAGTATGTGGCAGAAACAGCGACATCGCTGCATCTTCATGTGGCAATAGTTTTCCCAGATTCCACACCTTGATAATCCGATCATTCTTACCGGCCGTCGCCGCAAAACGGCCACTTGGAGCCACATCAAAGTGACACACTGGTACAACCGGCACCTCTCCATCTCCTGACAGCACTATTGTACGTTGCAAATAAACCTGCACCGAGTCATTTATCAGCTTCCAAATGGACAATTTCTCTCCAGCTCCAAGGAGTAACAGGTCGTCTCCGCTTTCTACCCACTCCAAGTGGTTCAGTAGACGGTCATCGCATTGCCAGCGGACAGACTCGGCCCATCGAGGCATGTGAAGATGTAAATGAGTTTTCACATAGTCAGAACTGGGTATCGAGTCATAACCTTTCGCTCTTCTGTCCGTATCTTCCAAGGTCGAAGCTCTAGACGTCTCGGCTACAGCCATCGCTCGGCTAGACGTGGCACTCGCAGGCAGCAGCAGCACACCACGGCCTTCATTGGTGCATAGAGTGAGAGCACCACGTGCCTTTGTTTTGCTGGGGTTAAAGCGCACGCATCGGATCGGGTCTTGGGCATTCCAGACCTGCGACAGCTCGAATTTGGAAGCAATAGCGGTTGAGACGGGACGAGTTTCGATTAAGACGACGAGTAGAGAGTCGACAGCATACACGAGATAGTGAAGAGACTCGAAAAGAGCCTCACAGACGCGGAGGTTTGCTTGTAGCCATGGAGAAGGCGCACTGACTGCGATAATTGATTCTTCTAATTTGAAGACCATTTTAATCCATTGCAAGAATATTAATTTTTGTATCTGGGCTACAAATATAAATTTCTTGTAGTCAAAATTATAATTATTGCAATAAACTGGCAGTGTGGTTGTGTAAATATAGTTATAATTGTAGCGATAGTGGATAAATACGAGTAGGTTATTGCTAATAATTACTTACAATAATTGACTATCTAACAGCATCACGACTGATTTGGTATTGAAATAATACAATTTACTCGTCCAAGATGCAAAACGTTATTTAAAAAATGACAAAAAGCATCGGGAAGCGCGTGCCAGCGTCGCAGGACGCTTTAAATGCCTTTGTGACAGCTCAATTGCTAGACAATGGCATGGATCTTATTGCAGGCAAAATTAACGTGCTACGTGAAAAGTTATTGCGATCTGAAAGCAGCGACGGTGACGAGCAGACGAGGAAGAAATGGGCACGTCAGCTCCAGCATTCGTTAGCTCTGGCTTGCCGTCTATTGACCAAGCAGCGGCGGCAACTAAATCACTGCATTGAGCGTGTAGAGACGGACTACAGTCGTGGAGTAATTGGACTGGGAGTGGCCAAGAAGAAGGACGTGGAAGCACAGGAAGAAGGTAATCTCTATAGTCGAACTTATACTCGTCCGAGAACAGGAAGCTCCTCGACGGCTGCAGCAACAGAAACTGATGGATACGTGGGCGTCATGGTACCGAGCAAGGAGAATATTCTCGCCATTGGTTGTCATGTTGCTGCTAAAGTGGCTCGCAGTCATGAGCTGTGGATCATGGCGCGTGTTGTGAAGTTTAACGCTGACTCGAGCACATACGAAGTGGAAGACGTCGACTCTGGTGACGATGACGACGAAGACGATGCACCAAGAAGACACTACATTGTGCCATGGCAGCAGGTAGTGGAGCTGCCGGGTGACTCGCTTCCCAAAGGAGAATGGATTCACTATGCGGTGAACGAGCGCGTCATGGCCATGTACCCCAACACAACCAGCTTTTTCCGTAGCACCATCCGCGTGCCAAATCCAAAGGTCAGTTGAACTGAACAAGCACGGAGGGTTGTGAGTCATGGGCTGCTTATTGAAAATGACTAACATGACGGTAAAATTGCTTTGCTGTCAGGGCGCTCCATATGTAATCCTTAAGTTTGATGAGGACGAGGATGAGCAGGGCTTTGTACCCGACCGGAAAGTGCCTTTTCGCTTTGTAGCTCCGCTGAAACCGTGGCATCAAAAGTGACGAACATCTTACTACCTCGATAGCGACGGTCATGTACATGTAACCTGCTTTGACCATTTCTCCACCATGAACCATGCATCAATCCCCAACTTTTCTGCGGTCGAGACGACAGCTAACGTGATACAGTCTACACAGTGGAAAAATTGACGCTATGACGTCACGCTCAATCCAGCCTGATACCTAGTTTTTGGTTCTACCTTAGCAACCCGTCATCGAATGACAGACGACTTGACTATATGAATCATAACTTCATTCGCAAAATGGGTGATGTTGAAAAACATCAGGGGGTCGAGTATAGCCAGACAACAATGTCTGCTACACTAGCAAATAGCCATTTACTGGGGTAATTGGCATTATTTAAGCACGCAGCGACGTCGGTCCATAACATGATCAGTATACATCGCTTGTGATGTGTGTGATTGTATACTTAGTAGTCCTGCGAGGCCGAGGACTTGCCCTTCTTACCAGCTGACGCTGACTTCTTGGGCAAAAGGACAGAGTGGATGTTGGGCATCACACCACCTGAAGCAATCGTCACATCGCCTAGCAACTTGTTCAGCTCCTCGTCATTGCGGACAGCCATCTGGATATGACGTGGGATAATACGCGTCTTCTTGTGGTCACGAGCAGCATTGCCGGCCAGTTCTAGGATTTCAGCACAAAGGTATTCAAGCACAGCAGCCATGTAGACTGGAGCACCTCCACCCGTTCGCTGAGCATAGCGGCCTTTTTTCAAGTAACGGGCAACACGACCCACGGGGAACTGCAAGCCAGCCTTAGCGGAGCGCGTGCTGCTTTTTTCAGTTTTCTTGCCACGGCCTCCAGTAGCAGCTTTTCCCTTTCCAGACATGATTGGTAGCTTAGTGTCGAGCTAATCACTTGACTTTATGCGTGAGAATTTTAATATGAAGCTGCTAATGTACATTTTCTTGGGTTCAGATCTGAGACCGAAGAGAAGACGCGTTTTAAATTCGATTATTATAGGTTAACACTAGGCTGGACGACATTGTTAGCAGTCCTATCCCTTGTAGATAAAAGCGAGGTCACAGGCGAATATCATAGTGTTATCGCATTGGTTAATAAACATTTGAATCGATTTGATTGACGGATCATACTTTTTAGTCTTTCGGATTGGCGGAATCTAAAGCGCGGGAAGAGCAGCAAGTTTTGTCTGATTGTTCAGAAATAAGCGAGTCACGAGCGATCATAGCGCGCGCCAAAGAAGCCGAGCCAACAACGTCTACAGCGTTGAGATCATTTTCGAATTTGCTTCAAAGTCGACCACTAACTACAACTACCACCACCACAAAAACCATGTCTGGAAAGGGAAAAGCTGCTACTGGAGGCCGTGGCAAGAAGACTGGAAAAAGCAGCACGCGCTCCGCTAAGGCTGGCTTGCAGTTCCCCGTGGGTCGTGTTGCCCGTTATCTTCGCAAGGGCCGTTACGCTCAGCGTACGGGCAGCGGTGCTCCAGTCTACATGGCTGCTGTGCTTGAATACCTTTGTGCTGAAATCCTAGAACTGGCCGGCAATGCTGCTCGTGACCACAAGAAGACGCGTATTATCCCACGTCATATCCAGATGGCTGTCCGCAATGACGAGGAGCTGAACAAGTTGCTAGGCGATGTGACGATTGCTTCAGGTGGTGTGATGCCCAACATCCACTCTGTCCTTTTGCCCAAGAAGTCAGCGTCAGCTGGTAAGAAGGGCAAGTCCTCGGCCTCGCAGGACTACTAAATACATTCTGCTTTATAATCGTCTCGATATCGGCGGTATGTGATTCTTTGTGAGTGTGATCTCGGTCGCCTCCACTTATGCTGAATAGTTTCGCAAGAAGCTACTTGGTTTTAATCCCCTGATGTTTTTCAACATCACCCTTTTTTCAGGAGAAATACTTATTAGTTAACTAGCGATAGGGAGTGGAAAGGGAAGATAAATTCATCGAAGTATACAAGTTGTAGTGCATCATTTGTCTAGCGTCATTAAGGATTGATCTTGGTAGATCAGACTAAAGGGTGTCGGTAGATCTGACAAATGGTAATGTTCTGTACACTTTTTCTCTTCGTCTATTGAGGATCGATCAACTGCAACTTGAAATCCGATTCTGGAGTAAGAAAATAATGGTCGATCCTCTTCAAATTACATTGTACAGCTCCATGAGAAGCTCATTAGTTTAATTGCGTCTGATAGTCTCTTCCTGTAGCTGCCCACTCAGCGCGTACCATGTTTCGAAGTGCGCTGCTGAACTGGAACATGAAGGTGAACTGCTTGTCGCGCTCACCACTCAAGGTACGGATCTTCCCCTCTAAGTCGGCGATATGAGCACCCAAACGTGCAACGTTCTGCATCTGTACTGGATCCCCACTGGATACAGCCTTGTCAATCCCTTCACGCAACTTTTGCGCTTGCCGGTCAGACTCGCGAATCTCGATGGCTAGCGCTGCACAATTTTTGTGCGATACCTTCAGCACCTCCGGGACGTCGCTCCAAATGTTGCTGTGCTCGTTTTGTTGCGCGAACAAACGCACCGCGTTGGAAAAGATTAACACACGAGCCAGTGATTTGAACCGCTTCTTTGTTGCTGCGTCTCGCTGAGCACGAAGGTTGGTGAGCTGCAGCTGTAGCTGCTCTGGGATTGTAATGTTGTTTGACATGTGCACGAATGAGTGGCCTTCTTCCGTTCGCTTCGTGATCTCCATATTCAGTTGCATGACCAACGCATTCACATTGTCGTAATCACTCACCCAGATTGCACGTAGCTCGTCATCTTCGCCAGATTTACTAGGATTAAAGCCTCCTTCTGTTCCTGCTGCAATTCGTTGCGGAACCATTACGTCGGGGAAATGCGTCTGCTGCTGCCCTTGCTGGACATTAGGGGCCCTTATGACAAGATGGCGCTTCCCATCGTGGTCCTGTGAAACCGTCTCGAACCTTGACACTGGTACTGCTGTGTGCTCCTGGTAAACGTGATCATTTCGCATAGGTGAAAACGCTGCGGATACACCAGGATTTGATAGAACCGAATAGTTCTGGGAAGATAAAACAGCCGGTTCGAAGCGTGGGGCGTGAGGAGAAACGCTAACTGGAGACGGCACTTGTGTAAAGCAGTTGTGTGTTGACATCAGAGTAGAAATGTTCGGCGAAGCCATGGAGACAACTGCCATCGGTGCAGAAATACTCGATGACGCCATGGAGGCATAAACTGGCTGGGCATGTAGCACATATTGAGCATGGCTAACGAATTGATTACCTTCGGGCATCAGTGATCGAGCCTCATCCTGCTGACGCATAACCTGCTCTTGTCGCATCCGTTCTTTCATCAATTGCTGCTTCCGTTCCTGAAGCTTTTCCTGCTGCCGTAGCATATCTTGATTGCGTTTTTCTTGCCAACGCTGGCTTGCTTGCCGTTGTTGCTCCGCTTGTTGACTCCGTTCTGCTTGCAATCGTTTCTTCTCTTGCTCTTTTTTCAGTCGCTCTTCCTCCTGCTGCTTTTGAGCCCTAAGACGTTCTAAGTGGTCCAGGCGCTTTTGTTCCATTCTTGACTGTTCCGCTTGCTCCTGGTCGGGCAACCGGTGCTGTTCCCGCTGCTGCAACACATGATCGGGTCCCCGCTTTTCTTGCTCATCTTGCTCTCGTTTGCCGCTGCTGCAGCACATGATCGGGTCCTCGTTTTTCTTGCTCATCTTGCTCTCGTTTGCGTTTTCCGTTTGAGAAAGGCGCCGATTAAATCCCGTTTTTGGTGATCGAGCTTGTGGTGCATTAGATTGCGCAGCTCTCACTCGGTTATCGTGCATTTCTTTTACGCGATCATACAGGGTCATTCCGTCGATTATTGCTGGTGTCTCTGTTGCTGTTGGTGATGCAGTAGCTTGTCCACCAGAATGTGAGAATTTGTCGACGCGATTCGATTTTTGAAGCCTGTCGCACGTATCATCTGCGTCTAACAGTTGCCGCTTCCGCGACAGCTCTTCAGTGTTTGGTCTCGAGCTCGACAAAGGCGGTTCGACTGGCGCAGAAGCTGACGAAGCTTCAGCAGCAGCATTTACCGCAGCAGGAGAGGATGAACCTTCTGCAGAATGCAGTGGCTGCTTTAACAAGGTCGTGGTTGTTGCTGTGGACTCTACAACTTTATCAACGGCTGGTGCTTCCAGTTGCCCAGTAGCCTGCGTTGGCTCTTTATCCGCCCCCTTATCCGCTTGCGCCTTTTCGTCAAGACGAAGTCGATAGTTCGCCTCAAGCATCGCCATAAAATCCTTGGACCACGCAGCTTCCACAAAATACTTTCCACTCGCATCGTCAATAGGGAAACATCGATGCGGTTTGGTGCTCCCCAGCATCAGCACATGTGGCTTTGCGTGACATAGCTCACAGAAGTAAGCATCACATGCTTCGCACCACATGACGGGGTTGTTCTTCTGACTACAGCGTGTACATTTGCCTGCAACAAAAACATCCAGTCAGGCGTAAGCCACTGCTCGATCTTTCAGAACCACTAAACTACAGCGTACGTGGCGTCTTGTGCGTATAATTGCAGCTAGCACACGTGTCGTTACTAGGTTCGAGTCTTCCGTGGCACTTGGCGCAGCGATTGGAGCTGATACCGTACACTAAACACACCAGATTCGTTAGTGATTAGTCCACGCAAGCTAATAGAGCTCTAACGCCACGCACAGTAGAGTTTTCGCTCGCTATCGCGTCCACATCTTGCCACCGCGTCCGTTAATATGCCGCTCCAGGTGTCAACAGCGCCTTCATTCGTCTCGATTGCAGCCATTGACGCAAAAAAAACTCGACTGATTCCGTGCGTGGCTGATCGGCCGAAAATCCGATCTGATCCGTTTTTGGTGAATTTTCCGCCAATAACTTGATATTCTGCTGAGACTTACATTCGGACCTAACCCTATTGACTACTGCTACAGACCGTTCAAATTGAACCTGTCATGAGTGATGGTCACTTGTATCTGTGCTGTGGTGGCGTCAGCTACATAGGCGGCAGCCACCGCGCTTGGCACGATGCTGCGCACCAGAGCGTCCTACTGCTGTTTTCCACTTCTGTCAAGCTTCTGCCTATGGACGCGTCGCTGAACCCCACGACGTCCCCATCGGAGAACATGATGACGCTCTATGACTTCTGCGAGCCAGAAGCAAGCGGTGATTATCGGGAAGCCGTACAGCACCGTAATATGACGCCGATTATGTTGCTTCAACTGTCAGTGGATGGACAGTTCCTTGCGATACAGCGCAGTGACATTGAAGTGCAGGTACTGCATCGAGCTACGCGGGTGTCCAACTGGATGCAGTGTCTACCCAAAGCCGGTAACAGGATCGTGCATGGAGGTGTGATCTGGAGCAAACACTTTGCCAAGAGCTCGAGCTCTCAGGACCTATTTCTGGTCACGAAACTGGGGCTTGAACACCATCGTGTAAGCCTTAAGCGTCGCACTTGTTTTCTGCATAGGGTTGTGGGGCTCTACGTCCATGCATTCTGGTATGAAGCTTCACATGGAGTGCTATTTTTGAGCTCTGGTTCAAGAGCAAATGAGATTGTACCGTTCTTGTTGCATGGAGCAAACGTGGAGACACTGCCCAAGCTGATGTTTTCCACGTCGGTGGGCACACAAGATCTGCACTTAGTTACGTTGTATGGCGATGTGTACGCGGTCTACCACAATCCTTGCACCACGAAGCTGCTGTTGTACTTGGTAGGACGGACCAAGGTCACTTGCGTGCGCTCGCTGAACCTCATGCTGTCGCCTGGGACAGTGTTCGAGTATTCGGTCGTGGACAACCTTCTCGTCTGCCACAGCCTGGATTTCAATGTCAGCTTTTTCTTTGATATAAAGTGTAACGGAAGCATTAGCGACCCGTTCTCCGCGCCGTTACCAATCTCGTCACGGCCACCGGGTCGCCCTCTTCCCGAGAGCAACAAGGCCCCAGCAGAAAGGACCGTCGACATTCGGCAGGAATCTGATGCTGCTGTTCTAAAGATTGTCAGTGATGAGAATTACCAGGAAGTTTCTGACGACTCGATACTAAACGATCCGATACCGCCTTGTAATTTTCGCCACGCGCTGAGCCTTGACAGCCAAGACATGCAAATCAGTTACAATGACGGAACGCCCCTTGCTTCTCTATCATTTGAATTGTCTGCAGCCTCTCAGCTAGCAAGTCAAAGATCAGCACGTCGGCTTCAGCGCACAACATCAGAAGCAAGTGTGCATAAGACAGAGACCATGGACCTCGAAGCGGTTGTCCCAAGCTTTTCCCGATGGCGATTTCATGCTCCCAATTTTGTGCAACGATCATGGTCACTTAACGGGCTCGAACAAGTCGAAAGTCGGAAACTGCAGTTGAATTTGGTCGAGATATGTAAAACATGCGAACGCCATCGTGAGATCCTACCTTTTCTGTTACGTCGAGGGGACTATGACTCTGCAAAGATATTGGTTTTAAAGCTAGTGCGAAAGCATATTGTGGAGCAACAACCATCTCTATCTTCAATTGTACAATTGCTGACTACTGTTCAAACTATGTATGGTAACGAGCGACATGATGAGGTATTACTGCTGCTGATGGTTCACATTGCAATAAATTGATCTAACTTGTCCGTTGTCCCTGTAGAAAGCTGTAGGTGGTAGAGCTTCGAGCGGCTCCTACTTCATGCACTCGAATAATGATACTAACGCGGGTCAACATACAGACGAGCACTCTACAATGCCTAGATCAACTGCTCGCAATGTCAACGGCTTTATGCTTATCCAACAGGCAGACTTTTACCACCACGTGTGGAAAAACATACTTGAAGACAAGAATGTACGGCCCTGCGATCATGCTCTATGATCATGGAACTGCTTCAACTCTTACATTCTTTGACCTTTCTTTAGATAGGTGCAATTTACAATATGAGCGTCTACATTGTCGAGTATATCAAGAATTTACGAGAAAGGAAGGTGCAGGTGGAGAACATTACGTGAGTATTTGCACCTTATTACTGAAGAATGTTTGAATGCCGTGTGTATGACTAAGAGATTTTGTCAGATATATTGCTCTCGCGGAATGCTTCATAGCTACAGGACAGCCGAACGAGCTTTACCAGTTCTTGCACTACCATGTGCTAGCTGATTCAGCGGAGCTTGCAGAATTGATGGTTCGGAAGGGAAAAATCTATCCAGTCTTGATGCAAGTGGGGTTGGACATGTATTATCGATTGAAGGAGATTTGCTCACTCTTACACACCCTCTTGGACCTTGGACAGGTAATGGGGGCGTTTATATGTAGACTTTGATGTACCTGCGGTCCATTGCCTAACTCGCCTAACTTAATTTTACTACGGTTAGACGGAGCGAGCTATCAAGATTGCTTGGAGAAATATGGGCTCAACTTCGTGCAACGCATCCGTTCTTCCTGGTGCTGCCTTCTTTGATTCCCTCGTTAGATCTGGTGCGTGCTGGCCATTATGTGCATACATGTTCAATGTCTAATACGCGCGGGTTTATTGCATGTAGTAACCGGATCGAAGGAGCCATGTTCACCTTTTCAAGTGACACAGATGCTGGTACATTTATTGCTCTTTTTGAGAGTATGGGATCCTGCATCACTCAAGTGTGATAGCACAACCTCTCTTTCGACTCTCGCCGTTTGTGCTACTGTTCCGTTCCCAGATGAGATGACTGTACTGAATTCACGGCTGAAACTCAGAAAAGCTTTTGGGTTTAATTGACTAGCAGAAGTAAATATGCGATGATGCGGCTGGTCGCTGGACTATTCGAATGCGTGACGTCTTACCTGAGGTCAGGGCCGACGGCAGACCTTGATGAAACAAGGGACTTGGATAATATTAACTTCACGTTTTGGTGCTTTCGGGTCAATTATTGAGGCTCACCAAAGGACAATGACTCTTTAGTCTCTACCAGCGGGTGCTTGGTTATTTACAGAGTGCTGGCAACATCACTATATGTTGCCATCAAAGTTTGAAAGTCGTGATGCAACGAATGCGCCCGCGATTCGCTTTTTGTTCCATCGGTGATGTTGCAGCTAGAAGACTGCCATTCGTGGCGTCCTTAACTTTTGAGGTGACCGATAGCTGTCGTTTCGTTGCTTTGAACACCGCGCTTGTACACCGTTGGCCCTGCCAGCACCGTATTTTTGATCGCGGCTTGTTGTCAGCGAGAGATCAAACTTGTGCTTAAAACATGGTGTTTCGAGGCCAAGGACGTTTTGTGGGTGATGGTCGACACATCCACCAAAGCGATTCTTGCCGTCAATAGCTTGAATGAACATGCGACGAACATCTCCGTACGCGGAAGACTGCATGACAGATGAAGAGACCGTTGACTTCATCATTGCCAGTAGCCCCGTCAGTGCGTAGCCCCGTCAGTGCGTAGCCCACGTCATGTGGCAGCACCACTAAAGGCAGCGCAACCGGCTGACATCCCGTACATCCTGGCGTCGAAAGGCAGGTTCCGTCCAGCAATGACCGCGTAGATACTAGAGTGAAAAGGTTGACGACGAGGAAGACGAGACTTTACGATCTTCTAGTCCAAGAGTGGAACTCGGTGTGATGCACGACCACATGAAAATGAAGCAATGAGGAAGAAGGAGCAGTATGTAATCCGATCCTGTGCGGTCATAAGAATGGCTGACGGCAGCTTCAGACCGTGTCCATTACCTTTATTACAAGTGCCTTCACGGTCGTTGCGCCGATTGAGCACCTTTCTCACTTCAACAATGATACTAAATCGCTAAGGCGGAATTCTCGATGATTGTTCCAATCCGTATATATGACTCCATCGTGTCACTTCAACTTGCGACTTCAACGTCGACTCTATTGCTATTGCTTTCTGATTACCGCGATGCTGTATACGCGTCAAAAGACGACGACGAAGAGGAAAATGACGAGGACCAGCACTAGGAAGATCTTTAGAATCAAAGACCGGTTACCCTGGACCATGTTAAAGAGCTTTAGCAGCTCACCATGCGCTGCCTCCACATTGGTTTGCCTGAGAGGAAGAACATCGAGTCAGCAAGTGCACGCTACAATGGTTCAGTTTTTGCAGCCACGTACGCTATGTCCATGTCGTCATCAATGCGCGATATAATCTCTCCTTGCTCGGCGACCATGGTCGCCATCCGAGTATACATGCCTGTGATCTACAGCCATGTCCAGCGCAATGAGTTAATCTGCACTATCATTCTGCTCACATAAAGAGCAGCGTACCTCTACGATAGTGCTTTCCACCTGGGCCGCATTATTATACCTCGTCTGGGCGTCTTCACGAGGACGATACTGTTGCTGTTGCATTCCAGCAGCACTTCCCAATGGTGCTGTGCGCTGCTGCATAAAAAGACTCGATCCGAGATTAGCACGGCGACGGAGACCTGGTTCAGGAGCTGGTGGATTCAATGCTGGAGCGACACCTGCAACCACAACAGCCAAACGCACAGCAGACAATGTAAGATAAGTGCGATGCACTACAATCCTACGCATTATCACGCAATACCAGCTCTCGTCAGCTCCGGCGGTGCTTGAAATCCATTTCCAACGGCAGAATGTCGAGACGGTTGACTCTGTACTGGCTGCAAGGAAGCACCATTACTCGTAGGCATCACTTGATGTCCATTTACCCCTGTAGCACTTGTCCGTGAAAACAACGGAGCATTGATATGTACCATGGGATTGCCTCCTCCATGCGAGAACTTGTTGCGTCTCGAGCTGCGCTCCCGAATAGCTGCTGTATGTTGCTGGAGTGCGTGCTGTAGTAGTAATACAACCCCACCAGTCAATCGCAATACATCCCTCTACTACAAATAATAATAATAGCAACCACCATCACATACAACCTACATGAAAAACTCTGACGCTCTTGGCACAACGTGACTTGAGCGATTGGCACACGACGGAAAAGTGCGCCCGGTGATGCTGCTGGTGGCGACCTCGTTGTGCGTTGACCGTCTGCTGGAACATCTGAATATTGCACTCTATAACGCCCAGCTCTTTCTTTAGCACGTCCGTCAGCGTCGCGATCTGCGCGCTTGGGTCCTCGCCGATAATGGAGTTCTTGCTTACAAGTTCCTTCAGCTCACGCAGACACAGCTCCTGCTGCCGTAACTGATCCGAGATCTGCTGAGCTACACGCGCATCACGAGATAATGGTCGATGAGTCTGTGGCCGTGCGTATTGACCAGTCTCAAATAGCACAGTGATGCCCACGAAGTCCCGCGTAATGTCCGTAGCTACCATTATTGTGCCATCATGGGATAACGTACCCTAACGGGGTACGATGCTAGCGTACCCTATCATCGTACATAATCTAAACATAAAATACTCAGCTCATCGAACTTGAGAATTTGGTGTGATGGAGGAGGCGACGTTGCGTGCCAAGATTCAGGCGATGAAGAACCTTTTAAAAGCAAAAGAGCAGATCGGGAATGGAAAGACAACATTTTCATCTACCAGTTACGACTCGACGCGGTCTCATTACGCTTATAATCAGTCGAAAAACTATACGCACTCGACGCCAGTAAATCGCTCGTGGAATCGCTTTAAATCACCAGCAACAGCCGTGAATCGGAGTCACATGAGCGTTAAAAGTGCTAATAAAGTGTGGAAAAAAGAGAATACATCGATTACTACGACGGTGTCGGTAGTGTCGCCTCTTAAGGACAAGGAGAAGGAGAAGGCGTTGAAGATGAAGGCAAAGAATACAACGTGGATGAAACCTGTGAGTGAAGGTTGTTGTAGAGCAGGAAGTGATTGTTCTTTTTACTCAGTAAAAGATTATGCAGGTGAAGATGGTGGCAAACCAAAGCAAGAGCATGCAGCTGCTTCGACTGGAAGACGGTGACTACTCGAAAGCTAAGGACGGCTTTAGTCTTGTCCGTGCTGGAGTGAAAAAGCCTACGGTTACACGACATTCTGATGGAGTTGCAGCTTCTTCTCCTTCCAACAGCAGTAAGCTGAGCTGCTGTTGGTTGGTATGGTGTTGGGTGGAATACTGGATTAGCTTATCTTACGGTTGTGACGTGTGCTTTGATTAGATTCTGTGAATATTGGTGGTGTAAAGTATGTGGTTGCAAACGAAGGCAAAGCGCTGAAACGATGTTCAGCGGAGGGACGCAAGATGACTACCAATTATAGAGCAGGCTCAAAAATGAGTTTAGCAACCAAGACCGAGGCTGCTCGTGCCGCGTGAGTTACTGATGTCATTGGTCTGGGTGATGATTTGCTTCTTAATGTTGGTCCTATTGTTTGTTTTTCTTAGACTCTTTCGAGCGAAAGCGACGATGCGGCGTGAACGAATGAAGCACCTTCATGTGGCAAAGAAATCGGTCAAAGCCCGCACGATAAATTGCTCATTTTACGACCGCTTCGGCAAGTATTTTATCGTTTTACAATTGGACATCTGCACTACAATCGGGTTGCTTGCTTGTAAATGCTGCTAATTACGTGCTTTTGGTCGATGGGTGGTAGGATTCTGCAAGAACAAGGATGCGTGCAGATTCATTCACGACAGTCGACGAGTGGCGATGTGTCGAAAGTTCTTGAAGAACGAGTGTAATGATCCCAAGTGTTTGCTGTCACACCAACATGACGAGGTGGAGAAACTGTCTAGATTTTGCTTTGCTCGCTCTCACCATCGCTCGCATTGTAGCTTGGATGGGTAGCGGTGCTGGCTTGCGATGCTTTTATATAACATGCTGTGATGTGTTGCCCTGTGTTTGAGTGTGCAGAACAAAGTTCCCGACTGTAAAATGTTCCTTCGCGGAGCATGTACACGAGCAGACTGCAAGTATCGTCACGTGAAAGTGAGTGCGACGGCCGAGGTTTGCGAACCGTTCACCAAGGGATACTGTCCGAAGGGAGGGGTGTGTCCGCTTCGACACGAGCTGCGTAAGTTGCCTACGACTACTGCGATAGGACAGGAGAGTAGCAACAAGTCGGCGACTGTTTCAGGTACGTTATCGCCTCTATGCTCGACTTCATCAGAGGTTACGAGTGCATCAGCCGCATTCTCTGGGCCAGGAAGTCCAAAGGACGACAAGACGGAGCTGTCAATTCGGCCAAACATCCGTTTCGCCTCGAAACACAGTGGTGGCTTCCCGTCGCTTTTCGATGGTCTTCGTCGGATACCAAAGTGAGGTGTGCATAGTGTAATTCTTGTTGTTGCATGAGGACAGTGAAGATGGATGGATGGATTGATATATATAGATGGACACTTTGCAAACATGAGCGAACAGATATTTTAATTGGACCATTTCCATTCCAATCCAAATCGTGTTTGAATGGAGGACCGCATGCATTTCTTAGCGTTCGCCGTACAGACCAAAGGCGCCATTGGTGTGCGTCAATATTTGCAAGGTATGCAGTGTCCATAGTAGCGTTAACAGTGTATCACTTTTACTGTCTATAACCGTGTCGTTGTTGTCTGCAGAACACCATCAACAGGTTCCCAGCGTTTTGCAAGAGCTCAGCGCTACTGTTCTCCTTCTAGAAGAACAAGCTGGTAAATGTAGTCATGAACATGGCAATGATAGAGCAGTTAATAAAGACTTTGGGATCTGCATGGAGCAACTGCCTTTGCGAGCGCAACGCGAAATTTGGAGCGCATTGGCAAGTGGTGCATCTCCAAACGAAGCAGCCGCCGTGAGTTTAGCACGAGCATTTCTACGAGTGGTTGCACAGCCTCGCCGTCGTACAAGTGACACAGTTTGTGTGTCTTTGGCGAGGATTGTACTGAGTAGAGGAGCAGACGAAGGGGAGAACGAAAGCGCTCAGGGCAGCACAATCGCATTCCGCCGTCGAATGCGGCGCTTAACTTTGCATCGAGTTCAGTTCCCGTCATCCCTAGACGAGGAAGATGATGTTCGGCTTGTTGGACTGCAAGAGATATTGTCATCCAATGCTGCCATGCATACTCCTTCACGACTGTATAAACGCCACAACGATGAAGTTGGTGACGACCCATGGCCAAGCAAGACTGAGCAAAACATACGCGAAAACTCCCCAATGCCAACACTATCTGCTACAAAGCTGCAAGAACGACCATTGCTAACAAAAGAGGTTTCATGTAGCAAGTATATTTCTGACAGAGCTCTATTGATTCCACCCCTGACACTCGTTTTGTGGCTAGATAGAAGATCGTGCATCGGTACTTTCCAAGCTGCTTGTTCAATTGTCACGCTCCGATGCAGACGCCGCAGTTGATGACGTTGCTACGCGCGCGTTTGATATGCTTGCTGAAGTCGTCAACGACGTCCATACTACATATGCAGCCAACGAGCAAAGCTTTGAGTACCTGTGTAAGCTGTTGCGGATGGATTCCACCAGCGACGAAGCCCTCGCTCACATTACCAGGTACGTATTGACTCAAACGTTGGCACTTTCTGTTACATGATAGTGATGCTGCTTGTGTTTGTCTGCTTTCTTAACAGTGCTCTGGTAGATTCCAATTGGAGTTCACGATACGCAGCGATCTTCCTCGAAACGAGTGTGTTACCAAAGATTCGTACTGCTGATTCCGTGATCTCACGTGTCCTACTGCAGACAGCTCTAAACTTCGGCTCTGCCTATGCTGGGACACTTCTTGACTCAATGTTGCTTCCGCTGCTGGTTGGTGACAAAGATATTATGGCAGGCCCAGCTCAAGCTGAAGCAATAACGCGAATTCTGCGCAGTTCCGACACGGTACCAACTGACCAACTGAATGACTTTATCCAGAAAGTCGTGACCGCGAAAGAAGGAAACAACTCGACTCCACATTTGTTTTCCAATGAATCGGCACTGCTAGTGCTCCAGAACATCCTCAACACGAAACCAGTCTTGTCACCATTGACCGTTGAGAAGTTTATTGGAGCATGCGAGGCCGTTTTAGAGCGACCAGAAGGTGTACAACAACGTGGCTCTCTCAAATTCGCCACCGTCATTTTTACACTAGTTTCAAAGTATCCGCAACAATGTGCCGGCCATGTGGAAATCCTCGAAGCGATCGCTGCTCAACTGACATCCATCATGGCTAAAACGACGCTGCGCTTGCTGCAGAAGCTGAAGAACAGCAAGTAATTGGTGTACGGATGATCATGGAAATTTCACATGAATTGATATCAATGGGCCAACTGCCAACTACTACTATCAAGAAAAAAACACGTATAGACCTTGTGCGGCAACGACTCAAGAATTGTCACACTCGTAGTAGCGACCGAGACGATGCTGTACCAGCATTTTTCGTGCCGCAGGCGGGTGCGTATTCAGTATGGGGCCACAATCCCCGCCATGTTGAGCAGCTTCCAGTAGCACTTGTGCTCCTCCAGGGTGTACACCAAGTAAATCCGTCACGTCGTATATACTGTCGCCTACTTGGATCCAGCATGATCGCATGCTACGATGTCGCTTTATCTCGCAGGAAGAGTATTCCCGATCAAAATTGAAGGAGCTGTCGGTTGATGTTGGCGCACAATGTTGCCATGCTGCTTGCCGTGCTGTAGGTCCGGCAGCTTCTGATGAATCTCCAAAGGCTGCTTTCAGTTGGTACTCTTTCTCCGCACAGAAGTAGCAGCGTTCATTGGTGCATACATCGTTGCACCCAATGCACGCATCACATACACCCGCTGGCCGACGTGATCGAATTGACGCCTGAGAGGGTTGGCGAACTGTTTGCGCTGCTGTGGGCCTGTGGTCACTGCGCAGCAGCGGACCGACCGTGTCATCTTCATCATCCATTCCAAAAATGTTTGCCTCGACGTTGTTACCGATTGACTGTGTGGGACTGGTATCGTTAATGCAGTGGTGCGGTTGGCTATCACCTGGGGCGATGCGGCCGTAAGTCTCGTTCTTTTTTAGTTGCTTCAAACTCTTTCTGGACTGTTTTGGTTCTGGTACTATTACGCGGGGCTCCAGCTTCGGTGGTTTTGTGTGCATGCCTTTGCCACGAGTAGAGCTTGATGGCTCGCTTGGATTAAGATACTCGAGCCTCATTGATCCGTTCGACTTAATAGCTTCAAGGCAGTTAGTGGTCTCTGGTTTATGCAGCTCTTCCATTGGAGTGCACTTGCTCGTTCCATAGCTAAATACGTGTTCGGGCATTTCAATAGTTCTCCCGGAGCCAAACTGCAGTGATTGGGTTTTCGTTCTGCTCTCGGTATTTGCTAGATAGTTATCAAGAAACAAACCAAGCGCGCTTAGCCACTTCTTTCGAGATTCGTGAAAGTCTCCAGCACGCGAATTGGGTAGCTGGTTGTCACTTGGTGATGATAATTGAAGCGGACTATCAGGTGGCTGGGTCGCAAAGCGATGTAACACGAATTTCACGAGTGCTACTGACGTCTCAGCCATGCGTACGAGACGGATGTCCAAAATCGAATCCACTAAAAAACGGTACTTTTCCAATAGTCTACCTGCCAGTGCATCCGTCTGCTTCTCGGCTGGTAGATTGTCAAAGTCATGACTTGGGTGCTTTTGCCGGTTGCCTGCAGCGACATAGTTCTGCCGATCACGTGCCGTACGCTGCAATTTTGCCGCACTTTGCATGTGAATCAATAAGTGATGCAGCGTGAGCAGTGCCTCGTAGAACATCACATTGATTTCATTCTGTACTCGAGCTTCCTTTGAACACAAAGTTGAGGATGGAGCTGACGAGAGACTAGATGAAGCGCTACTCCCAACGTCCAGATCAGCCATCCACAATGTTGCTCCAAAGGCGGACGAGTTTTTCATGAATGACGAGCTGATCGATGCAGCAAAAGTAGCGGGGATGAGGTCGACAACGGCATGCTGTAGTGTCGCGTGACGAACAAAGTGCTGAACCATCTTGGCACGTCGGTCTCCAGCTGAGTTGGAGTGAGACGACGTTTTCGGTGTTCGGACGTCCAAAAAGCATTGTAGCAGTCGGAGGCACCAGTAGCATGTGAGAATATCTTGCTGTAAAATGAGCTCGTGCACAGCGTCAAGTACGTGGGGTATCTGTCAAAACAAGGATTGTCAATGCTGGAATAATGTATACAAGAAAGAAAGAGACTGTACCATTTCGTCTGTAAAAGAAGCATCTGGATGATGATACAAGCGCAGAAGCGCTTGCAAAGTGGTAATAAGGTCCGAGCTAGTGGTGTCCCCGTATCGTCGTAGTGAAGCTACTAGAGTCACGAGATGCTCGAAAACAAGCTCCATAGCCTTGTTCACCACTTCAATTTGCCCTGACTCACTGTACGTGAGTTCGTCAATTCGAAGGTTAGCATTGAGTTCCTCCATCGCGATGACAATACTCACGCTATCGTTCATTGACACTCCTGACTCCATGGACTTGCGTGTTTCGTAGAGAGGTTCTGTTGTATACTTGTTCTTATTGATACGGCGCTGGAACCAACTGCCGCGTCCATTCGAGTCAGAATCTGCAAGGTCATTGTTTCCCAGAGTAGCTCGATGTGTTATATTTCCTCCACGACGCCTTCGAGGTGACCATATACTATTGCCTCGACTTCTCCCGCCATTATTTTCTGCGGCCTGAGCACTTGTTTTCGTGATTCGCCTCAGCAGGAATGTTTCCATTAATGCACCGACAACGTTAGTGTCGTCACTTGCGTTGGTATCAGCAGCATGAGGGTGATAGAATCGGCAATAATTGAGACCTGAGGAGGTGAGAACAACGTTATGGTGTCCTGCTTCATAACACATCAGCAGAAGTATCGTAACAAGTTCGTCGCGGCCATCCACGTCAAGGATCAATGTATCCTCGTGCTTGAACTCCAACACAAGTGTTCTTGGACCCCAATCGGGGCGAACTATTGCTAATAGTGCGCTGTATGGACGCGCAATGACTGTGCGCATGGAGCAATGCATTTCAACAATTGCATCACTTTGTAGGATCAACTGAATCTCCTTGTTGGCAGCATCACTGTTTTCACTTCCTGGTAAAGCACCACTACCTTCATGGTTCCTCACTTTCTTCACATCGAATCGAACAACCGAAGGACGATTAAGCACCTGCGCATTATGCAAACGAAGATGCAGTGCCGTGATCTCACTCGACGTCTTATAAAGCTCCACTCCCGCCTCGTTTGCTGCCACCATGATTTCGTTCATACATTCATGTCGTTCACTACAACAGAAAACCTGATCATGGAACGCTGTAGACAATACCATGCCCTCATCATTATCCGTCGAAAACGCCACCTTTGCTAGATACACGAATGGTAGAATTTGTACGGGTCGACCACCTTCCTCCAAAAAGATGATACTGGAAACCGTGACTTGCAGGAACAACAACTTGGTCGATGCATCGGCAAATTGTTCAATGCATCGGAAGTGAAGTCTACGTGCACCAATGAGTCGGTACACTTGTGCCTTTCCCTGAGCCTGTCGACGAAGTCGAGCTACCAATGACAACAGGTGACCTTGAGCAGAGCACGCGAATTTCAACTTGGGCGACCGAAAACGAGACTTTTCAAGTCGAAGTACAAACTGGTTCTTGGTCTGTGACAGCTCGACGGCTTCAATATCGGCAATCTCCCATTGATCGGTGCACCGGAATGTTTCCGGATTGTATGTGCTAAGAGTAGAGGAAGTGACGAGAAGGATTCGGGGATACGTGGCCCACCAAGCCACTTTCGTAACCAGATACTGCGCAATGACCGTATCACTTTTACCACCAGAGGTACCAGAAGCCAAGGAAAAGTTTTTGACGAGAGATGTTGTCATTGTCCTCACTCAACCTCTTGAGTCGATTGAGAAAAAACTCAAAGTGAACAAGCCATATCGACTCGACTCGACAAGCAGTGCACATTGGAAACGCATTTTTGAGACAGAGTTTACAGTTTCATACGTTCAAGACAGTTAAGAAATGTTTTCTTGGTTATTAAAGTGTTTGACATGTACGTGTAGTGTTGAATACACGCAGAATCCGTTACGGATGTTGTAAAGAAAAGTTGTTGAGCCCGTGAAAGCGTCAACAACTTGCGACTTTGTAGTATATAAGACAATTGTTTTTGCTTCTCATAATGCTCAATGGAGACGTACATACGCTTATATAGTGATCGGATGTATGTAGCAAATTCTTATGCATTAGTTGTACCTGTATCTGCTTCCACACGCCTTCTAAACTTGTGTACGTCTTGCAAATCGCCCACAGACTTCATCTCCCCGGGTTGCTGGAAAGCTCGTTTTTCTTGCTACAACAGGTTTTTGATTCCTGACAAGTTATTCCACTCAGCTTCGACTTTAACGTTTCGTGATACCTGTGGCTGTAGCTGCGCGGTTTCATTGCACTGGGATGACGCAACCCCCGTTTCAAAACAACGCAGCGTCATATCGCTCATCTTCCAAGACAGGCGTTTCTATGCAGAAATCTGTTATCGAGAGTTCATTGCAGCCTTGCCAGCACCTTGTTGCGCTTGTACTTGTTGCGCCAGTCTGCATATTTGTTTGCCTCTTTTAAGCTTTTCACGCCAATGACCGTTCTTATTGATTGCGGTCCATACTTGTGTTGTTCTGCAATCCGTGTGCACTTTTGCTCTACAGTTGCCTGCTTGTCCTCGTGTGCGTGTGACTGCAAGCCGCGACGCTGGCTTGATCATCAACGTTTTTTTTCTTCCAGTCATACGAAAACTGTTGGTAATGCCACCACGACATACTAAAGAAAACAAGCACCCCCTTGCGAATAATGGTAGTTGAGAAACGGTTAAATGCTTTTTGTACATCATCTCCCCGTACACACCTCTCCTTCCAGCTTATTAGCCAGCCACCTATGCTTGATTTACTGCACGTACTTCGAATTGTAAGTCCACATCAAGCCCGCTTTCATCCACGTTAACGTCTTCAGCGTCATGTATAGTGTCCAGAGCTGCGTCTAACTGCAGGAGGATTTCACGCACCTACACATTCACGAAGAAGACTGTCATGAGTATCTGTGCGTATCCGCTTCATATTATTGTAAACTTACGTGTCCCAATTGAATGACCGAATCCATTTCCCCAATTGTCGAGTCCTTGTTCTTGTCGTTTTTGCGGTATTCGCGCTGTGACAGTACTTCGTTGGATTTGACATACAAGAGTTCTCGGAACTCAGCGTAGTTGATGCCAGTATTGGCAAGCATAACTCGCTGACACTGGTCTACAAAATCGCGTCCAACAAGACCTATGTCTTTTAGGTGTTCTAGTTCGTGTTCCACCGCGGCGTACTCACGTTTAAGAAACCCCCACACTTCACAAATGTTGTATCCATTGAACCAGTTATGGTTGATGGAGATTGTATCTTCCATGTTTCTCACTTGGTGATACCACCCACTGGGGACGAAAATCGCGTCACCCGTTTCTTGGACAACGTACACTGGTTTTGCTTCATAAAAGTGAGGATAATTCTCTTTGTCAATCATTGTAGCTGTTACATCGGGAATAACAAAGTGACCAAAGCGATCTTTCAACTTTGGTTCCTGCTCCACAATCACAGCGTTAGACATTAGAGCCCGTATGTGTCAATTTGATATGCCGCAATGCATACATCATTGGGGTGGAAGAGAATCCACTGCTTGCGGCCGCAGACATTCACCGACCAGCTACGAGGAACAGTCAGACCCGATGTAGTTTTTAGTCAGCAAAGTCACGACTGCATACCTGTAAGAGCGAAATACATCTTGATGAAGCGGCGTCCAGCTTCCAGCAGGACCTGTATGTAAAACATAGCTGTAAGTCTCATATGCCAGTCATCAGCCTATCGTAAACACAACCTTTCACCTTACCAAGATACACAAATCGATAATCACTGTCGCTCTTCTCTTTGTGCAATAACACAGGACGGTTGGGCGCCATGTAACGAGTGCAAAAGTCGTCATAACTTAGTGTCGTGGCATCCTCAACGTCCATCGTTTGTCTAAGAATCAGATGAATCAGAGGAACTACCACAAATATTTATTTATCTAAAAACATGCTACTACCTTTATATTTGAATTTCTCGGTCCAAAAAGTTTGAGCTCTTCGATAAATTGCATCGTTATTTTGCTCACATTTTGTCACAACAGGGTCGTACCTAACCGATAAGATACTTAGCGAGTAGCCTTTTACTTTTGAACGTACTTATGTCCATTGTGGCCATAAATTTTCGGACAGAATTATAGCTATCCACTCCATTTGACATCAATCTGATTCCCGAAGCTTCCACATGGAAAACCAGCCTTTACTTGCTAACACTTTGCGCTATGGCAGCGTTCCTGAGGTCACAGTCTCCACTTTATTAGCGACTCTTCTTGTAGCATAAAGATCTGACACCTTGTGCTTTGTAGTCCGTTGCTGGAAAAGCGAAAGCCGCGTCCCAGATCAACACATTCGATGTCTGTAATGCCCGTGACATTGAGCGCATGAGTCGGTCAGTGACGTGTCTTTCACATTGGATTATAGTATGGGACCTTGAGTAAACTAGCAGTGATACACTGACGCATGTATTGAATGGGGGACAGTCACTTGGACAATGGGAATCTCGGCGCTGCCATCGACACCTTCATGTGCCTAGTTTCGATAGTTTTTTCTGGTACATACGTCGCCAATACGTATATCCCTTACAATAGTGTACGGTTCGTATTATGTTGTGAGGCTGCGGCGGGGGGGGGTGGGGGTACAATACAGCAATGAGTGCTTGCTAATACCCTATTGCTGTGGATGCAGATGCCCCATTCGATCTGGGTCGTCGAGTTGATCTGCGCGTCGCTATTTACCATTGATTTTTCTTTTCGAGGCATTTATCTAGCTGCTAATCGACGTCAAGAGTATTTACTATCACTAACAACATTTCTTTACCTCGTAAACATTTTGCCGGTACTTCCAGCCTCTTTCTTCATCCGCTACCAGTTGAGTTATTTTCTGTTATGCTCGGTACTTTTTTGTCAAGGTATCATTTACTCACACATTGTTCTTGCTGTGTTTAGTACTTTTTGGTACGGTGAGTCATTGTGGCGCTTTATCTACCCCTTGCGCTTTGCCATGTGCTATCTCACCGGTAAAGCAGTGCTGAGCCGCTGTCACGCTTACCTGAACCCGGTGCATCAGTTCGCATTCTTGTGCTACTTGCAAATTATATGTATCCTGTTGGGTGCTGCTGGGATCATTCAAGTCGCTGAGACAATGGATGGCACACTCTCGGTCAAGAATCTTGGTGAATGGACCTTTTTCAACGCGTTCTTTAACTCTGTCATGACATTTGTGACGATTGACAAACCGCCGGCGGAGACCAATCTGTCAAAAATCTTTGTGGGCTTGCTCGTCTGCGTCTTCATTTTAGTCATCCCGTACCAGATTTCGAGCGTTATGGACTTAAGCAACTCCATCTCACCGTATGAGGAAGCTAGCTACAAACCTTCTTCTAACAGCCCGCATGTTGTGCTGTGTGGAGATCTCACTGCTTCTCGCATCAGCCACTTCTTTCATGAAATTTTCCACAACGATCACGATTTTGTTGGCATCCATGTTGTTGTGCTGAGTGAGGACCCTCCGGCTACGTCACTTAAAGCACTGCTGCTGGACCCATTCTTTGCGAAGCGCGTTTGGTTTGTCCAGGGATCATTGCTTGACGTTGACAATGCGAAGCGCGCGGCTTGTGACACTGCAAACGCCATTTTTATTTTGACGAACCCCGTGAGCGATCAAGAAACTTCGATCAGCGATCACCGCACTTTGATGCGTGTGCTTGCGGCTAGACGCCAGGCTCCGAAGGCGCGCGTTTTTGCGCAGCTTAATCGATCCATTCACTGTCAGCTCGTTCGCGACATGGGAGTTCAGAATGTGCTTTGCCTCTCGGAGGTTACGATGTCGCTGCTTGGCCAAAACTGCATTTGTCCCGGCTTCTCAACTTTCATGTACAGTATCACGTCAACTTCCAGTTTTGATGACGACAACAACGAAGGCCTTGGAAGCGATGCTAAGCTTAGAAACCGTTCTACAGCTGTTGATAATGGCAAAGGTTCTTGGGTGGACAAATATTTGCTAGGAGCGAGCCACGAGGTTTATGTGGTCGAATTGCCGCCGACATCGGTGATTGAGGGCAAAACTTTTTCTGAGTTGGCTTCACTTGCTTATTCACACTGCAATGGAATTATTGTTTTTGCTGTTGCCGATGGTCCCCGGGGCAAAGTGGTTCTCAACCCTGGTGATTCGTACACTTGCGTGGGTGGCGAGACGGCTTACGTGATTGCTCAGACCCAGGGTGCCGCCAATGCCTTGACAGAACTGAAAATTATGTCGATGCCGTTGGCATGGCGAGCAATGCAAGTTTCGTACCATTCCTCACTTGTGCGCATTGAAACAAATGGTTCTAGTGATGGTCAGGATGCAGAAGCTCCTCTTCAACGACGCCACGCACGGTTTGTAAACTGGCAGTTTGAGGATAATGAAAACCCGGAGCCTGAGCAAGAGACAGAGACAGAAGAAAAGGAAAAGGACGAGAATTTATCTTCAACAAAAAACGCCTCAAAGTCTGTTAAAGATGCTGTTATCAATGACGTGGAAGAACTCGGCGTAGGAGCCACTCCCATCGTGATCTGTATAACCACAGAATCGACTTTTGCAAATGATCTGGAGCATCTTATCGGTCCTCTTCGCACTCGCTCTTTGAAACAGTACTACCCAGTTGTGATCCTATCGGCAAAGCTCCCTGATGATGATATCTACGATGGTTTCAGCCACTTCCCTGATGTCCACTTCGTCGTTGGCGACCCATACCGTCACAAAACCTTATACAGAGCAGGCGTTCTCGATGCTCATCGCGTATTGATTTTGAGTACTTCAGCTTCAGCGTCAGACAACGGCTCCGAATTGCTGCAGGATGCGGTATGTCGGAGCGTGATCAATTGTGAGATTTATTGCCTGTTCATACTGCTCACTGCTTTGTCGTGTTTATACAGGAATCTATCGCGCTGCACAAGTTTATCACAAGTTTTATCGGTGTGAAGAAGGCACCGTGCGTTATTACAGAAGTGGGGAACCGAGCCAGCGTGCATTTTGTAGCGCAAAACTTGTTGGAGAACGGTTGGTTTCCCGGTTCTCACGGCGAAAATGAACTTACGATGTTTTCTTCAGCAAATACGTTCTCGCGCAACTTTTTTCTTTCACCAGCATTTACGTCTGGATTGACATACAGCACGTCGCTGTGCGACAGTTTGCTGATCAACCAGTTTTTCAACGGCCAGATCAAGAAGATCTTAGGTGAGTTCATGTTCACATCCCGTGCTAGTGACACATGGGCTGCGTTGCGTGGTGACAAGTCGAAGCCGGAGACCCAGCGAAGCTCTCTGTTTGCTGTTGAAGTACCGCTGGACTTCGTGGGTCGCTGTTTCGAGTATGTTTTTCATTACCTGTTGTCATCCGACGACATTCTGGTGATCGGACTCTATCGCTGCCATCCGTACATGAATGCTGCAAGCGCCGGTGAGCCCACGGCGCGAGTTGAAGTACCTGAAAAGGATCGCAGCGTGCCTTTTGGCTATGTCTATGTAAACCCGCAGCCTTTTGAAGTCATCACGGGTGACGACCTACTCTATGTTCTATCGAATAAGCAGCCCTGCTGGGCTGACTCTCAAGACGCGTAGAGTAACGATGCTAAAGAGCTGAATGGCCGGAGCAAGGTTGTGATCGGTATCGCTCACAAATTGTATTGTATCAATCGAAATGTGTCATTGAAACTGCGTTGAGTTCGTATTTCAGCGCTCACTAAAATCCAATTGCCACAACTAAAAAGCCAGCAGCAGCGCCATAGACTGCCTGCTGCATATGAAGCGAAGTTGCAAAAGATGTAGTCGTGGTAGACGACCTTGGCTCATTTGAAGAATCCAAAGCAACGCTTGTAGTGCTATCCTTTTGAGCACTACTACGACCGACGCTTCCTGTTTTGATCCCACTATCTGATGTCGTACTTGCCCACTTATCAGCCACGTTGATCGGCTCACTTACAGCAGAGCCTGCAGCAGTATACGTGCCCGAGAATGTCTGCTTCGGAAAACTCACTTCATCCTGCAATTCCCAAGCTGCACTAGAAGGCTTGTTTGTCGCGTCTGACGCAGCAGAGCCCCACCGCCACTGCAGAGCGTCCTCCGTCGCCGTCAGGTAGCCATAGCCGTATTTAGGGATCAATGTCTTCCACTTGAATCCAGTAATGGCAAGTGTGGCTTCCTCACGGATGTACTCGTTGTTGCCTGGACTGCCACTAATGATGATCGGAGGAATGTTGTAGTTGTTGAACGTAGACGCCTCAAACATCAAGTATGTGTGCTCGTGGCCCGCGAGATACAAGTCGACCTGGTACTTGCTCATTAAAGGCACAATCTCCTTCGCAAAACGATTTCCCGTCTCACTTAAACCTTTTGGTGTCTTAAATGGTGGGCGATGACCACAAACCACGACGTACGGTGTCTCCGTGCGCTTCACACGACTCAGATCGTACTCTAACCACTTTGCTTGTGCCGCTCCGGCAGATATCCGTGCGGCTTCATCCACTTTCCAAGTCACGCCATCATTTTGCAACGCCACGTAAGCCTCGTCGCCGTACACTTCCGTGTTGATAAACACAAAATGGATGAGCCCAGATGAGAAGCTATAGAACTCGTTCGATGATGAGCCACTAGCAGCACCGGCACCCCATGTGATTCCTTGGAATCGCCGGTAGTAGTTCTGAAGGGCCAGTGAAGGTAACAACCCATACTGGTATTCATGCTGCAAGAAAACACAACATAACAAAATCTCAAGGAGTCAGTGGTTCCACTTGCAAACACTGATAGTCAAAAGTTGCGTACATTGCCGACGGTTGTCATCATTGGCACATGTGAAGTGATTGACTCGAGCTCCTCCATGTAGTTCTTTCCGTTTGAGCCCGTGAGCTCATAAGACAGGTCACCGATATTCAGCACTCCACTGTAAGCTTTATCTACTGACAACGCATTCTTCAATGCCGGCAGTGACACTGCAGCAGCTTGACCCTGCACGGGAGCTGCCATGTCACCAAACACCGCCCACGTGATCCCTCTATCCGGGACTTTAAAGTTAAATGTCCTGCTTTCCTCAGAGCTGCTGGTCTGTTGCATGACGTCAGACTCTAGGGCGTAGTAGATCGTCGAGCCTTCTTCTAGATTGACCAACAAAGCTGACCAACAAGTCACCGTCTCCCCTGCCGTCTCAGTCACGAGACCTGCATTTTTACCATCCACTTTATAAACGAGGTCGCTTGCAGAAGTGCCATACATAAGCCGAGACGATGTCACAGTCGATGACGTGATCCAGTCCAACATGAAATTCATCTTGCCATTCTCTTCCTTTTGCACAAGACTCAAGTGGAATTGGGACGATGCAGACACGGCCTCAGCAGTCGCAGACACGTCCTTAAAAGCAATCGCAGACACGGCCTTAACAGCGATCGCAGCAACAACTGCAACAGTGCAAGCGCAAACTTGCATGGTTCGTGAGTGACCTTCGAAATTTATACTGACCATCACCCGGTGCTGAATTCCATCAGACCAGATTGTCAGTGAGATTTGCAGACTACAAACAATAAAACCTGCCTAAAGTGCTACTGCGTTAAATGCTGATCCCGACTGAGTGCTGCTGAACAGTCCGAACGGATGACCTCTGTTGCCAGATAGAAGTTTCCTATCGAAATGATATCAGTGGAAACAGGTTCTACTGTATTTACTAGAATGTGACCATGTTGTAAGTAGATGGTAGTTGCGCTTGTGCAGAGGTAGTTAGAAGTAAAAGTGAATGTATCAGAATGTTATCTTCGTTCGCTAACACTATAATACAACATGCACTGCAACTTGACCATAACATGTTTGCGTCCGTCTTCTACGTCGTCGTCATGTCGCTCAACGGTCATGTCGCCACCTCGTCCCATCACCTGGTCCGATCTTATCGTAACGCCTGTCACGACTCTTGTCACTGTCGTAGCCTCGTCTCACCATCTGTCACCATCGTAGCCTTGTCTCACCATCTGTCACCATCGTAGCCTCGTCTCACCACATGTTAAGATATGTGTGACTTTGACCAATCAGGTGTCACCGTCACATGTTATACCTGTTGAACCTGTAACATAACAATGACTGACAAGACGTTTCTAAACAGGCATTTCTAACACTCCTCCTCGGTGTCAGCCTGAGTGGTCTTTAATTCGAACATTGCACGTAGCTCTTCCATTCTTGGCGCCGGCAATGACTTCGTCAAGATATCGGCCATCATGTCTTGGGACTTGACAAATCTTGGAGCCACGATCCCATCTTTCGCGTAGTTGCAGATGAACTTGAACCTAATGTCCACGTGCTTGGCGCTTGACGTGCTCTTCTCCGACTCTATCTGCTTGATAGCCGCTTGATTGTCCATCCACATCGGCATCGGCTTGATCACGTTCAACTTCAATTCGTCGAACAGTGCCTTCATCCCCAGTAGCTCGCGTCCGGCTTGATACGCCGCGATGAATTCTGCCTCCATGGTGCTCAGCGACACACCAGACTGCTTCTTGCACATCCAAAGGACAATAGAGCCATCCATGGTCAGGACACAACCAGACACAAACTTACGGTCCGACTTGTCTGCCGCAAAATCCGCGTCGCTCCAGCTCTCGATACGCATGTCCTTGGGTGTCGATCCATTTCCCCCCAGATGTAGCTTCAGATCCTTCGACATCTTCAAGTAGCGCATGATCCTTTTTGGCAGTCTTCCAATCCTTGGTCGTCGGCTTGTGTGTTTGTCTTGTTGCCTTGTGCACTGCAAAGCAAATATCCGGCCGCGTGCACCTTGCGATCCACAGTAGACTTCCCACCATCGACTGGAAAGACTTCACGCTTGGGTCGTTCTTTGCACTCCTTTTTGGCAAAAAGTCTTGAGCATCCTCATCCTCGAGATTGCATTCGTCGCCTATCGGAGTCCTCACTCCGTTCGCCGAGTCCAGTCCGAACTCCTTCAACAGCAACTAGATCGTCACTTGTTGGTCCAGAATGTACCCCTTGGACTCGTCCAGCTTGATGCGAAGTCCTAAAAACTTGTTTACCGCGCCCAGATCCTTGATTGACAAACTCGCCATGTCCTTGAAGAAGTTTTCCACTGCGCTTGGATCAGTTCCTGTGACGAGCAAATCATCGACGTAGACTCCGACCACTGTGCATGTATCGCCTACGTACTTGAAATACAAACACATGTCTGTCGTACATTGTCGGAACCCGCTCTGTTGCAACTTGGAATCTAGTAGTTTGCTCCAAAGTCTTCCAGCCTGCTTGAGTCCATATAGTGACTTCTTTAAAAGCAGTGCTAAGTCGTTCGTCGACCTTTTTCCCAGACCCTTGATCTTTTCTTCATCTATGGTCATACCTTTTGGCACCTTCATGTATATGTCCAAATGCTCCTCCTTTTCTGCCTTGACGTATGCATTCGGCACATCACCATGTCGAGCTGGTACCTTCCAACGTCTTGATAGCATCAAGATCATCTTTACCGTGCTCAAGTCCATCACCGCTGCAAAAGTGAGGTTGTAGTCTACTCCAAAGACTTGTTCGTTTCCACAGACGACCAGACGAGCCTTGTACCGCTCTATGTCCCCGTTCGCATCGGTTTTGGTCTTGTACACCCACTTGTTGTGGAGAACGTGCGCATCCTTGGGTGGTGTAACGATCGTCCAGACATCGTTCGCCTTTAACGCGTCCAGTTCTTCGGTCATGGCGATCTTCCACTCTTGATGTTGCTTGCTCTTGACTGCTTCTCCATAGTGCTTGGGGTCTTGCATTATAATTACATTTACCACATCTTGTTTTCCAGCAGAACCTTTATTCGAAGGCTCTTCAACCTGTTGCTTACTGGTTGACCTTGTACCATGTCGCTCTCTCGTCCATCCGGATTTTCGACCCTTGAGTCCTTTCGTGACCCGTTTTTTGACGCTTGATTGCACTTGAACATCCGGTTGATCATCATTGGGTGACTCCTCCTGATGGTCGACTCTCTTCAAGTGGGACTTGACTTGTTCATTTTGCTCATCCGGCAGTGTTTCAATGTTTTGCACATGTTGTGTTACCACAACCACCTTGTCCTTGGGGATGTACACTTTGTAACCCTTCGTCTCGCCACTTTGCCAATTATTATGCCTGCCTTCCCACGCTCTCCAAGTGACTTGTTTTTTGTATGGACATGAACCGTGCATGCAGAACCGAACACCACGATGTCATTCAGCATAGGCACTTTCTTCGTCAAAAATTCCATTGGGGATACACCACCAGGATTCGACTTGGTTCGGCTCCGGTTTAGTATGTAAGTCGCGTACTCAGCAGCATCACCCCAGAAAGAAAGGGGTAGGTTTGAGGCGAACACCATGCTTCTTACCATATTCATAATAGTACGATGCATCCGTTCAGCCTTACCATTACTGGCTTGGTTTCTGGCTTCGCTCACTTGACGTGATACGCCAGTCCCTTTGCAAAACACATCCAATGTCTTGTATTCGCCACCTCCGTCCGTGCGTATCACGTGGATCTTGCAATTAAATTCTCGTTCAAAACTCACAAGGAACTGCTTGAACTTGAGTGCAGCAATATCTTTAGACTTGGCCAGAAACACACGGCAATAATTTGATCGGTGGTCAATAAAATTGACTAGGTAACTAAATTCCAGTGGGGTTATCGGTCCCTTGAGATCAGAGCATATCACTCCACCTATCACGTCGATAGGTGAGTTCATGCCCGTGTCCTTTTTCGACTGTGCTTTTTTGACTTGTTTTCCTTTAGCACACGCCAGGCAATTCATGCGTGTCAGGTCAGTCAGCTTAATAGCCGACCCCGGGTCTCTGGCCATCTTGATGATAGTATTGAAACAGAGATGGCCCAACCGGCGATGAAAGTGCATCAAGGTACCACTCTGAACATCCGAATCGGATTCATATTCAGGTGAATTAAGTACAGCCATCATCGCTTCCCGTGATGTGCTTGAAACGGTGTTACCGGGTCTCATCACCGTGACAACCAACACATTGTTGTTGCATTCAACATCCATTACCGGTGCACCTCCGACCCCAGAGGTCAACACACGCCTCCCTCCTCGATATTCGAGTATACCTATTTTAGCCTCGAGCTTACCATATGATATGATATTTCGCTCGAGGTTTGCAGCATACTGAACATCGAGGAGACGAATGGTGTTCACAACTCCCAGTGCGACAACTTCAATGTCGACACTTCCTTGCATGGTGATTCTCAGCACGCCTCCATCAGTGGCTGCCGTCAAACATTCACTCTGACAGTCTTTCGGATTAACCAGCAGACTTAAATCGTTTACCAAATGTCTGCTGGACCCACTGTCAAGGATCCAATTGTTGTCTTGAATATGTCCACCATTGCCAATTGCAAAGGTAAAGCTTGCCCTTGGTATCTTCTTCTTCAGTTGCGGGCACATCGACCTGATGTGTCCGACTTCCCCGCACTTGTAACACGTGCGCTGGTAACCTTCACCGAAGGTTGATTTTACCTTAGCCTTGACCCTGCCCTTCGGTTCCTTCCTTTGTTTCGACAGCGTTTACCACATCGCGCCCAAGATTCTTTGCATGAGTGTCGATCTCCGTCGACTGCGCGAATTGAGCCAGTTCTTCAGCCTGACGTAAGGGGTCGGTACGATGCATATCCAACCTGGACAACATGGTCGTACGCATAAGCGGGTCTGCATAGTGGACGATGTTGTCAAGCACCAGGTTGTACGCCCCTCCGCATGCGTCACTCACGGCCGTCAGGTATAAGAAGTGGTCCGTCCAGCTTCTGTGAGTTGCCTTTGGCGCCGTGAACAATTTCATGCTCTGGGCAGGTGATATCTTGGTGTTGAAAGTCTGAAGCAACCTTTGCATAGCATGCTCCAAGGTTTGGCTTTTAGACCACCAAGTCTCCACCTGCCGACGGTAATACGTCTGCGCCTTGCCGGCCAGATGTTGTCCCAGGACATCAACCTTGATATCCTCCGGCCACGCGAAACCACACGCACGCTCAGCAAACCCGACTTGACGGACAAATTCCTTACCCCATTCAAGGAACCCACTACCGAGTCCGTGGTATAGTTCCTTCCCGTCAAAGGGTTGTAGCGCGAGCTTCCGGTGTTGTGCATCTGGCATACCGGTAACTTGTAGTCCAGGATGACCGTAAATCCTGTTTGGCATATCCGCGCCTGGATAATAGTCTGCAGGTACTTCCTGCCTGTAATGTACAGGCCCAAATCCTGCCTCCATGTTCACGTTTGCTGCAACATGTTCCGCCGGTCGACCATCAATATTCACCTGGTTGTGGCGCCTTGCCCCGACGTATGTCGCTGGAGACACGTCCGGGGATTTCTTGGGAGGAGGGGTACGCTCCAAAGCCTGGAGAGTCATCCCCGCTCCCACTCCCAGGGCCGAACCGAAGATTGACTCCGGTGACCCCTTGTTGCCCTTGCCGACTTGCTC